CACCTGTGGAGGCTGCAGGGTGACCGTCCCTTCAGCCTGGTCTCCGCCGAGGAAGCAGAAGATCCCAGGGCGGAGAGGCGCTTGGGTTTACGGGCTGTGTGGCCAGAGGGGACGCGTCAGCCTCTTGATCTCCTCCTGTCTGTGATGGGCCAGCAAGGCCCCTATTGAGCGGGGCTGCAGTTTTGTTTGTTTTTAGGGTCTTTATTCCCCCCCCCCCATCGCCCCCCGCCCCCCGTGGGGCCTGACCCCAGGAGCCTTGCCCCTTTCCAAGTTGAGTTGCATTTGTGTGGCCAGTGGCTCCACTCACGTCTGAGCTGGTGGAGGCCAGGGGCTCTGTTTAGCCCTCAGCACTTGGTGGAGCTGGCTCAGCCCCTTCGCCCTCCCACTCTCCTCCACTTCCCTTGAGCGGGTGATGAATTTAAAGCTCTTCGCCTGGTGCCTGGCCCGTGGTAAGGATGCCAGCACTGTTCACTGCCAGGGGCCTCGGGTGAGCGACAGCAGGCAAGGTCATGGTGGGGCATTCCTCCTCCCCATCGCAGCCACCGGCTCCCACGGCCATCTCTACCTCTGAACCCTCCACACCTGCTGCTTCACCCTCACCTCCCAGCACCCAGTCCTCCAACTCAAGGCTTCGGTGACCTTGACCCTGTCCATGTCACTCACTCAAAACCTCCCTTAACCCCCCACCTCTCCCCTCCCAGGTGATACTTAGTGGGAAGGCCCCACCCCACGCTGACCAGCTGTGTGTTGCTGGAAGGGGAACACCCGCATACTCACACACTGGCGCATCTCATGTGAAAGTCATGGCAACAAATCTCCAGGAGACCTAGTGCCGCCCTCTGAATACACGTCTTGGGCTTGTCCTAGATCCCCTCAGGACACCTCTTCACAGCCCCTCTCCTCTCAGCCTCCCCCACACCCCGCCCACGTTCTCTCACCTCTTTGGGAAAATGCAAGTAGCTTGGGCAGGAAGGCCGGCCCCTCCCCAGCAAATCTCCGCTCTCCCTCCTATTCCCAAGGCACGCAGCGCCGCCCCTGGGGCTAGGTCCCACCGATCTCAAGTCCTGAGTGCACTCCTGCATCCATCACCTTCTCTGCCGCCAGTGCCCCCCGGATCGTTGTCACCAGCCAAACATGCTCCGCTCTCTTCCTTGTAGAACCAAAGTGAACTCTCCCCTGGCCCCACATTCCTTCCCGCTGCCACCCGCCTTCATGTTCCCTTCACAGCCAAATTCCTGTTTCCAGTCCTCACTCTCATTATCCCTCAAGCCACTCCAATTAGCTCTTGTCTCCGCTCCATGCTACATGGAAACAGCTCAAATCAGCCTTGCTGATGATGTCCCTGCCGCCAGCCCCAGTGTTCGGTTCTCCGCATCCACCCCTCTCCCACCTGCTTCCCGTGATGCCGCCTACTCCACCTTTCCCACCTCACTGGCCGCTCCCCAGGTGCCTTGGGCGGCTCCACTTCCTCTGCTCAGTCCAGATCATGAGTCACCCTGGACCCTGCTCCCTGACTCAGCCTCTTTCTCAGCCACTGACTGCAAAACCATCTCGTCATCTCAGGTCTCACCCTGAGGTCTGGGCTGATTTCCATTGATGACTTCCATGATGTCTCTACGTGAATCTTTAATGGCCATCAGGCTTGACCACATGACTTGCTCTGGCCAATGAAACTCAAGGGGGAGTGACATCATCATCCTCTTTTCCCTTTTCTGTGGTGACCAGCAGTATCCCATGTAGAGGCTGCTCCATCAGCCTGGGTCCCAGAGAGAAAAATGGCAAGAAGGAGAGGCGCAGCTCACCCACAGTAAACATGCAGCAGGAGCAAGAAATAATATTTGCTGTATGGCATCACTGAGATTTGCGGGGTGGGGTTAATACGGCGGTACAATCTAGCTTATCCTGACTACTATAGGGTGTTCCAAAATTCACACAAGATTTGCAATTGAATTGAATTGCAAATCTTGCGTGAATTTTGGGGCACCCTATACATGCAGCTCACCAAGCTGTGAGATACTACAAGGCAGGAGAGGAAGCTGGTCTTTAAACTGTGTGCATGAGGGTGGGCTCAGCATGGATGGTACGATGAAGCAGACAGGATCTTCCTCAGTGACAGGAAAACGGGCCTTGATGGAAATGCAGTGGAGTTACGGCTCACACTGGAGCCAGGGACTTTTTTTTTTTTTAATATATTTTATCGATTTTTTACAGAGAGGAAGGAAGAGAGATAGAGAGTTAGAAACATCGATGAGAGAGAAACATCGATCAGCTGCCTCCTGCACACCCCCCACTGGGGATGTGCCTGCAACCAAGGTACGTGCCCTTGACTGGAATCGAACCTGGGACCTTTCAGTCCGCAGGCCGACGCTCTATTCACTGAGCCAAACCGGTTAGGGCTGGAGCCAGATTCTAAGTCAATCCCTGGTACCAAATTTATCCTTGAAGGTCCCCTAAACAGCCCATCAAACACAGAACAGCACAGCCTGTTTTCCTCCAGCAGCGGAGCACAGGGCTTTTCTGAGTTGAATACCAGATGGAGCAATGGAATTGTGAAAGGGCCCCTTGAAAACGCAAATCCTGTCTTTAAAGAGCAAGATCACATTCAGCGCGGCAAGGTGTGGTTCACCAAGTCCTCTTTCTCTTCTTCCTAAGCTCACAGCTCCTCTCTATCTCCCAGCGTTCCTTGCACGCTCGTGGGAGTGGTATGTGCCCATTCCCTGCCTTCCCAGCAAGCAGCCTGTGCACCCTCCAGGCGCACCCCCCTCTGCCCATGGCAGCAAGCTGAATGGAACCGCAGGCGGCCAGCAGAGTCCCCACATCTCTGTGTCTGGAGAGCTGCTTCACAATTAGGAGCACCTGATTGGGGCTTAACGTACGTTAAAAATAAACTACTGTGTTTGAGCCACTCTACATCTTGAGGTCAATGCAGCAGTTCAGGCCCTTTACCCATCACAGTACGAGAGGCAGGAGGAGACTCAAGACCACCGGAGGGAACCTCTCAGAGGCAGAGCCCAGTGCGTGGTGAGGCACGGTGGTTCTTCATTCAGGCTAAAAGCGTGCAGCTGAATCCAGGAAGTGACTGCTGCACTTATCCTAACCCATCCGGGCTGCTGTCACAAAGCACCACAGTCTGGGTGGCGCATACGCTACAGAAATGTATTTCTCCCAGTTGTGAAGGCTGCAAGTCCAGGATTAAGGCACCAGCAGGTCAAGTTCTGGCGAGGCCCCTCTTCCTATTCACAGCCAGCGCCTTCTAGCTGCGTCCTCGGGTCTCTTTTATCAGGGGCGCTAACCCCGTCCATGAGGGCTTGTGCCCTGATCACCTCCTAAGGCCCCACCTCCAAACACCGGCACGTAGGGCGCTGGGTTTCCACGCGTGAGTGTTGCAAGCACACGTTCAGACCTTAGCAATATACTAGTGTAATGTGGCTCCACCACACTCCCCAGGTGACTCCAATTCAGCCGGGACTACCCCGCCTCCGGGAGGTGCCAGGGCCACCTGGCCCGAGGCTGCACACACAGGCTCCTCCTCGGCAGGGTCCTCCTGAGCGTGTCCGGTCGCTGGATACGGGACCAAAGGCACCACGCTGTCCTCAGGCCTTGCCCATATTCTGTTTGCGTGGGAGATGCTCACCCTCTTGCCCAACGCTCCCTCGTCTTTTTCAGGTCAGCAGCTGGATTTACGTAGACAGACTCCTGACGTTACTATAAAAGGTTAGGGCCCAAGAGCCGGGGCCATCCAGGGACAGAGGGCTCGAGTGCTCATTGGCTGGAGGGGTTGACGCAGGAAGGATGAAGGTCTTCTCACACCTTGACTGACTGGCCCAGGCCAGGTAGGAGGACACCTGCGGAGCTGAAGGGGCCGCTCAGCTTGTGACTGTCTTCCTCAAGTATAAATGTGTCCCTGTCGCCGTGCTAACACTCCTACAGGCGCCCCCCGGAGAGTCCAGGCGACTTACTGCAGCGTTGTTCATGACGGCGCGACCTGGTTAAACAAGTGATGGGTTCCACGCCACCATTAAGAAGACCACTCACTGGACTGCTGTGTGTGCGGATGTGAAGGCTCCGCAGCCAAGCCAGCCAGGCTGGCCTCCTCCTCAGGACTTCTTTCCTTTTTGGAAAAGGCTTGTTGTATAGCTTAGTACACACTACAGCGTAGGCATCAGTTCAAGCAGAATAATACAAGTCAAAAGCACCTGGAGCAGGGGTAGCTTGTTAGCAGAACAGCGTATATAAAATATTTTAAAACATATGTGTAAGGGTGAGTTTAGACAGGTACATAGCAATGCGTGGCAGTGGTCGCCTCTGGGGAGAAGTGAGCACTTACGGTGCCAGTTGCCTTCATCACCCTTTGAAATGTTGATTTTGAGAGAGAGGGACATGGCAAGGGGGAAAGAGAAACATCCATGTGAGCGCATGCCCCCTACCGGGGATCGAGCCCATGATCCGGGCATGTGTCCTAATCAGGAATCAAACCAGCAACCTTTTTATTTTTATTTATTGATTTCAGAGAGGAAGAGGGAGAGATAGAAACATCAATGATGAGAATCATTGACCAGCTGCCTCCTGCACACCCCCTACTGGGGATCAAGCCCACAACCCTGGCATGTGCCCTTGACCGGAATTGAACCTGGGACCCTCAGTCTGCAGGCCGACGCTCTACCCACTGAGCCAAACCGTCTAGGGCAAACCAGCAACCTTTTTTTTTTTTTTTAAATATATTTTATTGATTTTTTACAGAGAGGAAAGGAGAGGGATAGAGAGTTAAGAAACATCGATGAGAGAGAAACATCGATCAGCTGCCTCCTGCACACCCCCCACTGGGGATGTGCCCACAACCAAGGTACATGCCTTTGACCGGAATCGAACCTGGGACCCTTCAGTCCACAGGCCGACGCTCTATCCACTGAGCCAAACTGGTCAGGGCACCAGCAACCTTTCGATGGTGCACAGGGAGATGCCCAATCAACTGAGACACACCAGCCAGGGCTCATCATTCCTTTTTTTTTAGTCTGCAACCTAATTTTTCCCCTGGTAATATTTTGCCTATTATTTTGAAAGATCCCTTCAATGGCTCCATGTGGCCCTAGGATAGTCCAAATGCCCTACTGAGCTCCTCAGGCCGCTGATGGCTCCCCCCAATCTCTCACTGGTTCTCCACCCCCAACCCCCAGCGCACTTCAGCAACATGATCTCATCAGGTTCCATTTCCGAAACTAGCTCTCTGGCCTCTGTCCTCAGCTGAAAACCAGCCTCTCCTCTGCGTTCTTCTGTCTCCAAACCCGACCAGCTTCCCAAATTGCCCACACCCTTCACCAGCACCTACCTCACAGCACTGCCTACTCCTATGCCCCAACGAACACCTCCCTAACCGCATGACCAGGTCCCCCGCTGGCCTGTGACCTCCGCTCAGCACACACCTGCTGAGTTTCAGCTCTCTGGACACATGGGCCCCCTGGCTACGCTAGTATAAGAATAAAATGAGTAGCAGCTGCAAACAACCCCGGCGCAGGATCCGGCATATGGTAAGCTCAATATAGTTAAAAAAACACACACAAAAAAAGCCAGTGCCAGACAGCAGAGAAAGCTCAGAGGGCAGAGGTGGCTGCTCGGAACAGGTGCCCAGAACAATGCCCACCATCCAGTGGATGCCCAAAAAACGCTTAAGGAGGAACAGTGATTCTCGACCTTCGAGGGAAGAATTGATCACCTGGAGGTGATTAAAATTGCAGACTTCTGGGCCCACCCATAGAGACTCCAACTCTGGTTCAATGTTCTAGAAGCTGAATTAAAAGGGAAAAAAAATACCCCACAGGTGGTCTAAAGACTGCACTGAGAAAGTAACGGTCCTTGTGAATATTTATTAAGCAGCTACAATAGGCCCGGTTCAGGTTAATCTTCATGGGGGGATAGAGAAGGAGCAAGGAAAGTCCGTGCCCTTGTGGGGTTTACATTCTAGGGGCTAGAAAACACCAGGGACAGAAATAAATGCAGACAGCTCGTGACAGTGTCGGAGAGGAAGTGAAGCAGGTGGGCAAGGGGACATGGCCTGACCTTGGGCGGCAGGGAGGTGTCTGTGGAATGAGAGGAAGGACCTAGCCAGTCCACACGGAGGGGAAGCAGCCCCAGGGACCTTCCTTCTTCCCCAAGCTCCCTCACCCAGGCCCCAGTCCTAGAGTATTTCACAGGGAAGCAGGTCCAGGATAGTGAAGCCCCTTTATTATCCAAGTTCTCAGAGCTGGGGCCGACGGGACAGAGGACGCTGCAATGGGGAAGGATCCAGACGGCTCCTTGGGCCCAGCACAGGACCTGCAGGCTTCCTCTGGCCGGTGGCAGAGTTCGGGTACCCCGCCCTGACCCCATCTCCCTCACACAAGTGTCCCTCCAGTCTCGGGCCAAGCCAGACCCCAGGGCCACGCCAGCAGGGGTGACGATGCCCAGCCCTCAGACCAGCCTCCTGGTGCCCGGGAAGCACTGCCTGTGTGGGCGGGGTCTCCTGAGCATCCTTCCTGATTTGGAGCCGAGGGGTGGGACTGGCCTGACCCACTTCCAGCGGGTTGAACACATTAGGAAGACAAGAGCCTGGACCTCCTCGGAGGAAGAGGGGAGCCGTGTGACACAGGAGACTCCCAGGGCAGGGGGGCCGCAGGGGCTGAATTCCGAGGTCACTTTTTCTTGGCGCGGTCGGCCGCATCCAGGGCAGCCATGTTTCGGGCGGCGGTGATCAGGTGGATGACGCTGATGAGGGACTTCAGCAAGGCGACGGGGGCGGTGATCCACAGTCCCAGTCGGAAAAGACCCACAGAGCCAACTGCGGAAGGGAGCAGGGCAATGCTGAGAACACGGGACGCGGGCGAGGGGGAGGGCCCACACCTCCCTGGGCAGGCCAGAACCCCCCGCCCTCCAGCCCTGCCCCTCATCTCCTACCTAAAGGTCCCTCGGAGAAACTGAACAGGTAGAGGAGGCAGTAGAAGAGCTCATTCCCAGCACACAGGGCGAACAGGGCAGGCTGCGCAAACAGCAAACGGGCCGCTTAAACAAGGGGGCGGGGCAGTGTGCAAACCTCCCCCACCCTCAGCACACCCAGGAACGGGGCCAATCCCTGTGAGGATGGGAGCTGGGAGTGAACTGGGGAAGTAAGGGAGTGGATGGCAGGGAGGAATAAAGAGTAACTGCAAGATATTACTTCTCTCTTCAAAAACCACCTACTGCCGAACGATTCCCAGGCCCTCCCCACCCCCACACCTCAGCGTGCAGGGCTCTCCTCCCCTGGGACCAGGGCCCCGCCCAGGGTTTGAGTAAGTGAGGGGGGAGGAAATGCTCACTCGGGAGGTGTAGTAGATACGAAGCACTCGGTTTCCCGACAGGTCGATCATCTTGTGACTTTCACTGCCCCGGACCACAGAGCTTGGGGAGAAAGCAGAGGAATCCATGAGCGTCCATTACCGCCGACACCCACCTAGGCCTTTTCACAGCCTCCAGGAGGGTCCTGGGATTGCCTCTGCTGTACCCAGGAGGACCCGGAGCCCAGCTGAGCACCACTGTTTGGCCCAAAGCCACACAATTACCTAGCTGGGGACAGAGCCAGCATTCAAATGCCACATTGAAAAGCCCCCGTTCCCGTTCCTAGGAGCTGTTAGCTATTTGGAAGCCTTGACTATCCAGTCAGAAGCGTTTTAGGGATTGCTTAATCCAACTGTAGACAAAACTGAAGTTCACTCAGAGAGGACCTGCCATGGTTGTTCAAAGCAAGCTGAAAAGGAGACCTCTCAGATGCCTGAAGCCATCCCAGACACCCTCCCCGGCCGTCTCACCCCTCCCTTCAGCAGGCCAGCACCCCCAGAGCTGCAGACCTGTGGAGGTGCAGCCAGTGGCTGGCCACATCCAGGCTCATGCTGAGCTGGAAGAGCAGGGTGGCACGAGGGTAGAGCAGGGCCAGGTTGACCAGCAGGCACATGGTGGCGCAGCGGTCGGTCAGCATGTCCAGCATGGCCCCAAACCGGGTCCCTGAAAAACGGGGGCTGTGAGCTGGGAGGAAACTGTTCGGGGGCAGCGGATCTACAGCAGGGGCCATAGGTGTGCATCGCTCTGATGCAAAGTCTAAAAGATGAAGAATGTCCACCATCCACTGCCTGGGAGGAAGCAGGCTGCCCCACGGGGTGCGAGGTCAACGGGCAAAGTCCACCATGACATGAAATGAGGAGGCATGGGAGTGTGGAGAGAGAGTGGAGGTGGGGGGCAGGGTGGGGGTGAAAAAGCAAGTTTACAGGTAACTCATCAATCCCAGAACCAAGGGTCCAGGTGTCAAGACAAGGAGACTCGAAGTCGGAGGGGAAGTCTTGGAGGTGGGCCTGGGGCAGAGACTCAGCCCTCCATTTGCCACCTCCCTTGCCCCTGCACCCGCCCTCTAGCAGGCCCCGGGAACCGGGATCGCTGTGCCGGGCACAGTAGCATCCAGGACACACCTGTTGGAGGACATTGACTCAAAGACCTCCGGCACTTCACTGCCCATCCAGTCTTGCTATGACACCCCCTCCCTATCAGTGGGTTCTCCCCCTCAGCTCGCTTAAACCCCTTCTGCAAAACCAGGCCACGCAGTTCTGCTCGACAGAGATGAGAATGACAGCGTCCTTGGATCCCAGGGCACCTGCCCACCCTCCGGTCCCCAGGAGGCAGGAAAAGGGAGCAGCGGGTTGTTGTGCCTCAAGGTTGGCTGGGAGGAGTTGTCTGTCACCTTGATTAAGGATTCGCGCAGCGTATCCATCGAAAGCGTCCAGGAGTCCGCTCAGCAGGTAGAAGGAGGAGGCCGTGAGGGGGCAGCAGGGCATGAAGTAGAAAGAAATGATGGCGAAGACGATCCGGGCATAACCTTGGGATGGGACGGGGGAGACGGATGGGGCGGGATCAGGAGGGCTGCCCAAGGCCCCTCTCCCTGCGCTCCGGCCCGGCGCCGTGGGCAGCACTCACCAATTAGGTTAGGCACAAACAGGAAGATATTTTCGCTTGGCATCGCGGCGGCCCCCTTGCCGCCCCGGGCCGACCCGGGGGTGCCAGCTGTTCACCCAGAGAGGATCTCAGCCCCGCCGCGCGGCCTCACCCTCCTGCCCGGCGCACCGGCGGCGCCCACCGCGCGCCACACCCCGCTGCCCGCGCCCGGCCCCAGATGTGAAAGCTCGCAGCCCGCGGGAGCCCGGGCCGCCCCAGCTGTGAGCCGGGCGCAGGGGGCGCGCACACCCCGCCCTTCCGATGGGCGGACCCCCGCCTCCGCCCGCCCCGCAGTCTCCAGCTGCGGTCCCTCCTGCTCCAGTGGTGCTCAGCTTCCGAGAATCTACTCTTCTGCGCGCGTACTTCCAAAATTGGAGAAAGGAAACGGAGGCCTTAAAAAATGGCTGCGGCCCCTTTAAGACCTGCCCGCTTCCTTTTCCTTTTCCTCCCTCCGCCCCTTTCCATCGGCTCGTACCAAGGCACGGGGGGGGGGGGAGGAAGGGACGGAGAAGGGGAGGTCCGGAGGGGAGAGGCCTCGATGAATATCCGTACTTTGCTTTCGGAGGCGGGTGTGACTCCCTGGAGACAAAGACGAGGAGGGGAAACTCCGTCCTCCCGCGTCCCCGCGTCCCCGGAGGCGAGGTGATGTAGTACAGTCCGCGGCGTCCTCTCCCCGCCCTCTCCAGCCTCCCGGGCGCTCGCGGGCTCGGGCGGCGCGGCGGCGGCTAGAGAGGCTGGAGGGCGGCCCGGGGCGGGGCTGCCGCTCGCGTGCCCCTAGTGGTGGGAGGACCAGGTCGCAGGCTCCGCCCGAAGAGCGGCGCGCGCTTCTCCAGCTGGGACCTGCGGGGGATGGAGGAGAAGCCGGAGCAGCGCGTGCCACTCGCCGGAAAATGCTCCCCGCGCCCCTCCCGGCCTTTGGTTCTGGAATCCCTCATCTCCTGGCAACGGGGCCGCGGAACCCCGCAAACACCAAGGGTTTTATAGGAACGGGCAGCGGCGTCGCCGCCGGGGCCCCTCTTTCCTACCTCGGCCTTCCTCCCCGCTCCACCTCCCCGTCCCCGCGGCCTGTCACCGGGGCCCCGAACCTCCCCCGCCTCCCTCCTGCCCGGTAGCCCAAGATTCAGCCCGTCTGCCAGGTCGGGGCGGCCTTGTTTGGGAAGGGCTGTGGGTGGGAAGGAAAGAGGCCCCAGAGACCGGCGGGAGGGGGTGACTGTGGAACTTCCCACCCAACTTCCCACCCAGGGAGATTTAAGGCGACGGTTTTTATTTTATTTTTTACTTCCCCCTTCCTCCCTAGAGAACTACGGAGGCAGGATGGTTTTTTATCTAAAGGCCTGCTTTAAGCCTGGGCCTGGGGAATGAATGGAGCGGGAAGGGTGTGGAGGAAGTGGGCTGGTTTCTCAGCACAGATTCCCACTGTCCCCAGGGGGATGGAAGCCAGTCCAGCCAGGAGTACGGAGAGGAAGGGGAGCGGGCTGTCCCAGGCTGCAGCGTCCTTGAGTGGAGGTTCGGTGAGCATTGGAGGGGGCTCTAGAGGTGGGGGCGAGCCCAAGTAGAGTCTGGCCAGGGCACCCAGACTCCCCCTAAGAGGCTCTACCCCCAGCACTAGGCCCCCCACTTACAGGGCCCCACATCTCAGGGCCCAGCCCTTCAACTCCTTAGATGCAGGGCCCCCAGTCTGCAGGAACTCCCAGGCTGAGCCCTCTGACTTTCCCTCACCAGAAGCCTTCACTATCCCGTTCTGAGGAGTTCCTGGCCCAGATCAGCACAGAACTCACCGATGAGGCCTTGTTTGTTGCTGGCTACCGCGTGAACCCTGTGCCCAGCATGGAAAAACAGACGCAAGACCAAGAGACTCAGATATACAAACACGGTGATTCCCCCGAGTCAGGACCACTGTGTCCAGAGACTCCGATAACTCTAGTTCCAGCTCCTGACTCCTTCCCAACCACAGCTGACTTCTCCGGGAATCTGCCCATCTCCCCTATCTCCCCCATCTCACAGCCAGACGCCCCCCACTAACCAGGACCCACTCCTCATTGCTAGCTAGGAATCCCCGCAGTCTCCTCCCTAGCCCATCTGTTGGTGGCCATGTGCTGAGGGATAGTCCTTTCTCTGACTGGGGCCTCTGCTTCCAGAGTTCTTCACCAAGACCCAAGGCACCGACACTTGGTGAGTGAGGCTTCCAGGGAGACGCCCGTTGTCCTGGGAGGAAGATGAGCCTGTAAGGGGAGAGAGTGAGGATTTGACAACGTCCCATCCGGACGGGGGGATTTTTAAACCTGGCCGTCCTATTCTCTTCGGCGCCGACCCTGGAATTCAGAGTTCTCATCCCTCTCCCTTCCCTTCCACCATCTCCAGCTCTGACAGGAACCATGCCTGCACCAAGGCACACCTTCTGCCATCCTGTCATGACAAGGTATGAACAGGGTCCCCAGAGGACGAGGTCATTCGGTAGTAACCAAATATTTAGGAACTTGGGACACAGAAAAGAATGATACGGCCCTTGCTCTTGTAGAGGTCACAGTTTAGTGTGGGGCCAGTCAAGTGTATGGCCAATTACAATGTAATATGGGTGAGTTCCCGTAACAGAAATGGAAACAGCAAGAGGAGCACTTATCCCTGATCAGTTGGGACAGAAACAAAAGGAATCATGGAGCTTCCTGGAAGAGGTGACACGACAGAATTATCCAGGGGAGAACATGTTAGTAGGTAGGGGTTATACCAAGTGTCGGGCTTGTGTGAGCAAAGGCACAAAGGTGAGTCTCAGTAGAGTGAGTGTGAGTATATGTGTGTGTGTCTTCCTAGGGCAGGGGAGAGGTGAGACTAGAGTAGTTAAACTGTTGGGAGTATCCAGGCAAGGTAGCCAGGGACTAATCAAGAGAACTTACTAAGATCCTTATGTGTGCTTTATTAAGATCCTTATTTATTTGTTTGTTTGTTTGTTTGTTTGTTAATCCTCACCCAAGGATATTTTTTCCATTGATTATTAGAGCGAATGGAAGTGTGTGTGGGGGGAGGGGGAGGGGGGGGAGAGATACATCTAAATGAGAGACACATCGATTGGTTGTCTCCCACATACACCACAACCAGGGACCGAGGATTGAACCTGCCACCCAGGTACCTGCCCTTGACCAGGAATTGAATCTGTAACCCTTCGGTGTGTGGACCAATGCTCTAACCACTGAGAACACTGGCCTGAGCAAGGTCCATAGATGTTTTCCTAGCCGAGGAGTCACTGAAGAGATTAGAGTAAGAGCAGTTGGAATTTTAGATTAGTCATTCTAGTGGTCAGTGGGGAGAGTGAATTGGGAAGGGGAAAGACCAGAGGCAGGGAGGCCAGTTAGAAATTACTCCAAGAGACTAAGCTAAAGATGACTAGGTCCTGAATTGTCACAGTGAGAGTAGAGATGAAAGGGCAGATATAAGAAATAAAGACCAACCCAAAGCAATCTGTTTTTAATACAATCCCTATCACCAGTGGCACCAATGGCATTTTTCACAGAACTGGAAGAAATAATCCTAAAATTTATATGGAACCAAAAAGGACTCTGAAGGGCCACAGCAATCTTGAGAAAGAAGAACAAAATTGGAGGTATCATGCTACCTGATATCAAACTATACTACAATGCTATAGTAATCAAAACAGCATGGTACTGGCAAAAAAACAGACATCAAGATCACTGAAACAGAGAGCCCAGAGATAAACCCATGTCTATATGGTACAATGGAGTAGTGACAAGCTATTCAATAAATGGTGTTAGGAAAACCAGATAGATATATGCAAAAAAATGAAACCAGACTACTCTCACACCAAATACAAGAATAAGCTCAAAATGGATTAAAGACTTAAATATTAAGATCTGAAATCATAAACCTCCTAGAAGAAAACATAGGCAGCAAACTCTTGACATTGTGCTGAGTAATATATATATATATTTGGATATATCTCCTCGGGCAAGGGAAACAAGTAAAAATAAACAAATGGGGTTGCATCAAACTAAACGTTTTTACACAGCAAAGGAAACTATCAACAAAACAAAAAGACAGACCTATCTATTGGGAGAAGATATTCACCAAGGATATATTCAATAAGGGGCTAATATCCAAAATGTATACAGAATTCATACAACTTAACACCAAAAACCCAAACAATCGAATTGAAAAATGAGCAGAAGACCCGAATGGGACATACAGTTGGCCAATATACACATGAAGTCACACTAATCATCAGAGAAATGCACATTTAAACCACAATGAGATATCACCTCACACCTGTCAGAATGGCTACCATCAGTAAATCAACAAAGTGTTGGCCAGGATGTGGAGCAAAGGGAACCCTTGTGCACGGATGGTGGGAATACAGATTGGTGTAGTCACTATGGAAAATAGTATGGAGGTTCCTCAAAAAATTAAAAATAGAACTACGTTATGACCCAGCAATTGCACTTCGGGGTATTTCTATAAAGAAATCAAAAACACTAATTTGAAAAGATATATGCATCCTTGTGTTCACTGCAGCATTATATGGAAGCAACCTAAATGTCTGTCAATAGATGATTAGTACATATATATAACGGAATATTACTTGGCCATAAAAAAGAATGAAATCTTACCATTTGCAACATGGATGGAACTAGAGGGTATTATGCTAAGTGAAATAATTCAGTCAGAGAAAGACAAATACCATATGACTTCACTTATATGTGGAACCTAAAGAACAAACTGAACGAATGAATAAAACAGAAACAGACTCACAGTTACAGAGAACAAACTGAGGGTTGTCAGATGGGAGGGGTTTGGGGGATTGGTTGAAAAAGCTGAAGGGATTAAGAAGTACAAATTGGTAGTTACAAAATAGTCACAAGGATGTAAATAAAGCACAGCATAGGGAATATAGTCAATAATATTGTAATAAGTATGTATGATGCCAGGTGGGTACTTATCAGGGATCACTTTGTAACTTACATAACTGTCTATATAACTGTCACTATGCTGTACACCTGAAACTAATATAAAATAATGCTGAATGTCAACTGTAATTGAAAAAAGAAGAAAAATAAAGACCAGGAAGATTGAGTTTGGTAATCGATTAGAAATATTAGCAGGGGCAAAATGCAGAAATCAGATGACGGCCAGGTTTCTGATTTGGGTAATCTAAGTCTGATGTCATGCTTCTGTTCAGAACTCCACAGTAGTTTCCATTTCGGAGTAAAAGCCGAAGTCCTCCAGTGGCTTACAAGGCCCTACATGATCTCTCTCCTCCCACCCATTGTCCCTCCAACCTCATTGCCTAGAACTGCACCCTGCTTTACTGCACTCGGTCATGCCAGCCTTCTCGTTCCTCTTGGAGCGTGGACGTCATCCTTCTGCCTTTGAACAGATGGGGTTTGAGGTGCCCACAGAAACTCCAGGTGGAAATACCCTGTGGACAGTTGGAAATATGGCTTCAATCTCATTGAAGCAGTCTGGCCTAGGAGGGAGGTGGCATTTGAAGGGTGTGCAGTTGCCCTGGGCAGGGTGGGGGTGGTGTACAGCATAAGAAAGAAGAGGGTGCTGCGGATGGAGGCTTGGGGAACCTCTCCTTTTAAGAGATTGGCAGAGTGAGCATTGACCTATGAACCAGGAGGTCACAGTTCGATTCCCAGTCAGGGCACATGCCAGGGTTGTGGGCTCGGTCCCCAGTGGTGGGTGCACAGGAGGCAGATGATCAATGATTCTCTCATTATTGATGTTTCTCTCCCTTCCTCTCTCTGAAATCAATAAAAACATTAAAAAAAAAAAAAGATTGGTAGAGGGGGAGAGAGGGATTCATGAAGAAGGCAGGAAAGGAACTGATAGTCACCAAATGTTTATTGAGTGTCCATATGTGTCAGGTCCAGCAGGCCATGGGAATAGTCATGTCTCTGACAGAGGCTGCTACTTCAAAGGTTCACGACGGAGAGCAGAGGCAAATACAGCTCACAACCAGCCCCTCTTCTTGTCCTCCAGGATCTGACTCTAGTGCCTTTAGGACATTTGATCTCTCCCAATTGGTGTTGGAAGCAGCTTCAAGTAGCATAAAAGCCTGGGCCTGAGTAGCTAATTTGCTGTTTACTGGATAGTCTCGTGCAAGTTGCTGCCCTTGCCCCATGTGTCAGATGGGGACCTTGGACACAATGCCCTGTGAGGGCCCTGCCTGCCCATATAGTAGTTTACCTTCCTTTCCTAATGGTACTTCATTGGGGATTTCATCCCGAGCTAAATAACACCCCTTCATCCACCTGCTGGCCCCTGGTGGTCCCAAGAGACTTTTCCTTATGCTCAAGAAAGAACATGGAAGCTTACAGATCTTCGAATTGCCCCTTGAATTGTAGGGCATTGTAGGTGGTCAAAATATTGAGTGGGGGAATGGATGAATAGATTGGGGAGGGTAAGTAAATGTGCGAATAAATAAATGGTAGATAAATTCATTAGTAAGCACCCACTGTGTGCCAGCACTACTCTAATAAGCACTCACTGTGTGCCAGCACTACTCTAGGAGCTGGAGTATAGATGGGAGCCAAATAGAGTGCCTGCCTTCAAGAAGTTTAAATGGGGGTGGGGGCGAGTGATTAGATGGTAGAGACATGGGTGGGTGGGTGAATGAGGGATAGATGGATGGGCAGACAGATGATGAGTGGAAAGATGGATGGGGAATGTTGGGTAGATGTGTGAATGAATTGATGGATGGAAGCAGAATGGTGGGTGGGTAGATAGATGATAGATGGGGAATGGTAGATGGATGGATAGGTGGGGCAGGGGTTGGATGGATAGGGGAAGAATGGGAGGATAAAAAAAAATGGGCCTTGGATCTAGAGTCACAGCCTCAAAAATAAATAAAGAGTCACAGCCTCTTTTTCTTTTCTAGGGAGCTCTGCCTAGCAGCTTGACCTCTGAAGGATGATCCCAACCCCTTTTGGTACTGCTCTCGGCCCCTCATGCCCTCCCCCATTCTGTGCCTCTACAACATGCCTCAGAGCTCTTTTCACACTCATTAATCACTTCCAGTCATCACCCCTGAAGCCTCCAGAATGTCCTGGAACCATCACACATCCCTCCACCCTCAGCTGGCAAGGACACCGCCAGAAAACCAAGGCTTAAATAAAGAGACAGATCCTTCCCTCCTCCCAACCCTGGCAGTGCTCGGTGTGACTTCTCTGGCATGGAGATGCGGGAGGAGTGGCCTTTCTTTTTCTTTTCCTTTTTTTTGTCAGATGTGTGGACATATTATTGGAGCGGTTTTAATTCAGGGCGTTATCTATCAACCTGCTGGCAGAGGTGTGCTCATGGATCCCTACCCAGCCTCCTAGCCAAACGTTAGCACCATAAGGTCCGGGCCTGGCATCTGAGCAGGTCCACTCTTGCCACCTCTGCCACCAAAGTCGGGCTGTGGTCTCCCCTCTGAGCTTTGGGGTCTCCTGCCGATGGGAACATATCACATCCTTTACTAGCCAGAGGCAATTCGGCAGGCGTTGTGGAGTTTTCATTTACATTCCAGTCTGGCCAATAGTGTAGCTTCTTGAGGAAGTCAGTTCGTAGCTCTGAGCCAGTTTCCTTATCAGAACATGGGAATAACTGTCCTTGCCTCACAGGGTTAAAAACATGCATACAAAGTGCTTAGCACAATGCCTGGCCCAGAATAAATGCCCCAAACTCAGGTTATTATCAAGATCAATTTGCCCCATGTTCTCCTAAAATTCAACCCCCTTTTGAGTATTTCAGTATCCTTTTGAATGTCCTAAATGTTTAATTGTATTTAAATATACATTTTCAATTAAGTAAAAGCCAATTAATTTAGAAACTCTTTAGACAAACAGGCTATGGATTCCTTATGTTAAAAATTAAAGTAGAAATGGACACAGGATACAAAGTAAGCTCACGGGTTATGACATCTGCAAATATCACCAATGCTTGGTAGACCTATAACAGCAGATATGCTTAAGTGCCAAAATGGTGAGTGGGTGGAGATAGTACATTTGGATACAAAAATTCTCGGGAGGCGGGTAAACATGAGACAAATTGACACCTGTTTGTCTCCTGTCTAACAGTGAGGGAGGAGATGGGACTGCTGTCAGCTACCTCCTGGGGAGACGAGGCCAGAAACAGCAAGCCTGGGTGGAGAGAGCACCGAGGCGCAGAAGGGGCTTGTCCCAGCCGGTCCTCAAAGGCTGCCCCTACAGCCAGGCTTTCGACCCCTTGACACTGCTCTGAGCCTAGTCTTAGATCCGCCTCCACCCCCAATTGTTCCCCTCCCCCAGCTCGCTCTCCAGAGAGGCCACCATCACCCTCTCCCATGCCAGCGACCCACCTTCCCACACCCCACCAGCCCAGTTACAAATGGTGATTTCCAGTTTATTGCTCAAAAACAAAAATCCAGAAGCAAAGGTGGAGAGACTGTGGGTTGAGTAGATGGCAGGAAGGGCATAGGGGCCTCGTCCCCGCTCCCCCTTCATCCTTCTGACCCTCCAAGCCCAGGGGTTAGGCTGGGGACCAGAGCATCTGGGAAGGTCAGAGTCTTCATGGCCAAGGGAACAGCAGAGCTCTCGGGGGCAGTCCTTATGAGGTACCCTGGGCTGGAGGGGCCCCAGGCGTTGTAGTGGAACTGAGTTCCCATGCCAGGATCCAAAAGCCAGTAGGGTAGGGGAGGCCCCTTATTTGGCAACTGAGAAGAGGAGGTTTTGGGTGACAGGATGCTGGTTTATTTACTGTAGGGTCCCCAGGGCCAACAAAGCCCCCTTGTGGGACCAGGAGACTATTTACACAACAGGAAGGAAGGAGCCAGGGACCAGGTCCTGCACTCCTCCCGCCCAGAATGAGGAGGGAGGGACGTCTGGGTCCTGCAGCCTTAGTCTTGGGGTTCAGATGGAAACTTCATACTCCCGTGTATCCTGGAGACAGAGAGATGGGATCAGTTGCTGGAGTGGGATGGTGGTGGAGGAGGCAGCAACATGGGAGTATGAACACAGGGAAGGGGAAAGAACCTGGACTTTTCAGGTAACATCATTGGTGGTTTGGGCGCCATAGGGTGGAAATGGATATGCTTGGTTCATCCTACAGCATATTAAAAGCACATAAAAACCTGAATTTCTGGATTGTCTTGAACAATCTGGCAATTGGGCCTGTTTCCACTATGGACTAAGTGGGGCACAAATTCTCCAGGGAGCCAAAGTCCTCACAACTCCCTATTGTTCACACCTGACTTGCTTTGTTCATTGATGTGGCCTTTGTAGGCAGCTGAGTTTGAAATTCCCAAGACAGATTACAGAGACCATGAGAGAAGGTACGGTGTCCTGGGGGAGCTGGGAGGTGGGCACTCCAGGGGCAGGGGAAGGGCTCACCCCAGCTTCATACAGTGGATTGCTGAAATCTGACTCCACGGTGATGGGGCTGTAGGAATGGGAGCCCGAGAAGCCGAAGAGGGATTTTCCCTGCAGCCTGGGAAGGGAGGAGATGGAGAGGCTTATAGAGAGGTGAGCCCCCAACCGCACCTCACCCTCCAGGCAGGCAGGATGCCCGCGGCCACAGCTCCCTGGATGGCACTTACTTGGTGTAGTATATGTAAACGCCACAGCCGAGCACAAGGACCAAGCCCAGGGGCAGCAGGATGGCCAAGGCGAGGTTCCCTCCCTCCAGCTGTCTTGATGGGTCTGTGGTCTGGGTCACTGGTGGGAGGAGGAGAGGTCATTGAGCTGGGGCTGGGCCAAGCCCTGGGCTCTCCCAGCCTCCTGCCCTGGGCACTGAACCCTGGGCCTCACCCCTCCGGGGCCTGGCCTCCTGCCCCCAGCCTCTGCCTTGCCCTCCCGACTCAACCAGGCCTGGGTCTCCACCTGTGCCCTCACTGACCTTCCAGTTTTCGGTTGTCCTGGAGCTCCTCATAGGCCACTGCAGGGAGAGGAGGGGGAGGGGACGGGGTCTGAGCCAGGGAGGGAAGGAGGCTGGGTAGAGGGCGGGAGCCCAGTGGGGCTGGGCTGGACAGCTTGGTTCTCGCTGCCCGATGCTTAACCTAAGCTTTGTCTTTCTCTTGGTGGGGGAGAGGGAGGAGGAGTCAGGGCAGGGCCTTCTTCCTCCCCCTGCAGACCCCTTGAAGTTCCGGGATCCTAACCCTGGGCAGTCTAAAACCATCCAGGTCTGTAGGATTTTCAAAAATAGGGAAACTGAGACCTTTCTAGAGGACAAGAGACTTCCAAACCAAAGCCCCTTCTACTACATCCCTTAGGATCATTTCACGACCGTGACTCCCCGGACTTCTGGTGAGAGCCCACAGGAGGTGAACGGGGAGCTCGGCAGGGTTACCAGTGGTCTCGAATCTGCTACCTGACTTTCTCAGCCCTGTCACTCCCCAAGCACTGCTATGCCCCCTCCTGCCCTGCCTGCCCAGGCACCTTTGCAGAGTGGGGGTTGGCTGGTCCACTGTGAGGGGTGGCCGGGCACACAGGTGATGGTGACCTCGCCGATGAGCTCGAAGCCCTCATAGCAGAAGAAGCGCAGAGACTCGCCCGCCTGGTAGTGATGCTTGTACAGCGTCTGATAGCCGTTCTCTGGCACCCCTGGGTTCAGGCACGGCTCGTACTTCACTGCAGGGAACATGTCAGTCACATGCCAGTTGCACTGCTGAGCAAGCCACCCAGCCATCCTTCCCAGGTGTCCCCCGACTCACAGGCGCACTTGGGGACCCGGTCACTCCACTTGGGGGTGCCTGTGTCCCGGCTGTAGCAGGTGAGCACGGCGGCTCCCTCTAGGCTGTACCCCGGCAGACAGCGGTACTGGACATGGGAGCCAACAGGGAAGCCAGCGTCCGAGGTGGTACGGTGCCCGTTGGTGATCTCACCAGGATCAGCACAAGTCATGACTGTTGGCAAGAGGGCAAAGTCAAGGGGAGCTCGTGCCTTAAAAGACCTCCCAGAAGCTCAGGGCTAGGAGATGCCTGAACCCCCTACTTCCCACTATTTCCTCAGAATGAAGGGAGCAGGAGTTGGAAAAACTTATAATTCAATGCGTTTTATATTTCTGGCTTCTTCGGGAACACAGTGATTGGGGCAACCTAGGCCCCATCCTAGGATAAAATGTTAAATATTTAACCACTGCACTGAGCATACCAGCTAAAGCCCCACAGTGTCAGCCCTGCATGGCAGCCATCGGCAGAACAGCAGCTGCCCGCCGTCTCCTCTCCCTTTCAGCATTCCCAGCCCACTCACTGCTCACTAACAGCGCCTGCCTGGCCCCTGCAGGTGTTGAGTTTACAACCTTGTGGAAGAGTCAGAATCACAGCCATTTCTTATATACAGACTTGTGCAAGGCATCCTGCTAAATGTTTACAAACATGATATAAACTCTGATTAAAAACAAAAACAAACAAACAAAACAGGAAAAAAAACCTCACCCTGGCCTGTGTTTCTCAGAGGTTATTGGCCTGAGGACCGGAGGTTCTCGGGTTCGATTCACTTCCCAGCTGGAGTAAGTGTGGGAGGCAACTGGTCTATATGTCTCTTACATCAATATTTTTCTCTCTCTCCCCGTCCCCCCTCACCCGCCCCAATGTCTCTGAAAATTCAATGGGAAAATTTCCTCGAGTCAGGATTAAACAACAACAACAAAAACTTGATATATACTCTGATGATCCTGAGGTCAATATCACTGTCATTTGCCTTGGGGCCCAGGGCTCAGGGCAGTCAAATGATTAGCGCACAGTCACTCAGGGAACGGCAGAGCTGGAACCCCTCGGGGGCACAGCTGTGGAGCTCTGGGCTGAAATTCAGAGCTTTGGGTCTCAGCTCAGCTTTGGGCTCATTTGGGCAGATTCCCTCTTGAGCCTGGAGCAGCTGGGCTAGGCCTACACACTCTGGACCCTGCCTCCATCCTTTTCTGTCCCTGTCCCTGTCCCTGTCCTATCTGGGAAGCTGTGTCAACTAGACTTGTGTCCAATCCAAATCTGGCCTCCTGAAACTTACACTCATGGGCCCCACCAGTGCCCCCAAGGGCCAGGTAGAAGACCTACAATCCCTTATTCCAGTAACAGGCTGCTCCAAACTGGGAGAAAGTGACATGATGCCACCCCTTTTTGCTCTTCTAACAGATAAAATCTCCCAGCTCCGTTACTTATTTTTAAAGTGTGTTGTTGTTTTAAAATATGTTTTTATTGATTTTTTAAAAAATATATTTTATTGATTTTTTACAGAGAGGAAGGGAAAGGGATAGAGAGTTAGAAACATCAATGAGAGAGAAACATCGATCAGCTGCCTCCTGCACATCTACTGGGGATGTGCCCACAACCCAGGTACATGCCCTTGACCGGAATCGAACCTGGGACCTTTCAGTCCGCAGGCCGACTCTCTATCCACTGAGCCAAACCGGTTTCAGCAATTGATTTTTTTTTTAAAGGGAGAGGGAAAGAGATGGAAACATCGGTCAGGTGCCTCCTGCATGCCCCGTACTGGGGATCAAATCCAAAACTCAGGCATGTGCCCCGAACAGGAATCAAACAGGTGACCTCTCGGTTCATGGAACAATGCTCAACCAACTGAGCCACACCAGCCTGGCTCCCAGCTCCTTTAAATATCACCGCTTCTGCCCTGGCCGGTTTTGCTCAGTGGATAGAGTGTTGGCCTGCGAACTGGAGGGTCCCAGGTTCGATTCCAGTCAAGGGCACATGCCCGGGTTGTGGGCTCCAACCCAGTGGGGGACTTGCAGGAGGCAGCCCATCCATGATTCTCTCTCATCGTGGCTGTTTCTATCTCTCTCTCCCTCTTCCTTCCTCTCTGAAGTCAATAAAAATATATTTAAAAAAATAATAATAAAAATAAATATCACCGCTTCTGTGAAATGTCCTGCCTCTTCGCTGGGACAAATAACGCCCCCCTCTTCCCACAGCCCTTCTTCGTACTTACAGCAGCCATTACTTACTGTTACAGGCACCAGGCAGTGTGTGAAAAACTTCATTTGCTCTTCACAACCCCCCTATTCCTACTTCACCGGTGAGAAGCCAAGGCTCAGAGATGTTACACTGGTGGTTACCACTCTAATACCCTGAGTTGTTTAACTAGCTGTCCCTCCCTCAGGCTGTGAACTCCATCAGGGTAGGGAGGGCCCCAACCCCTCTGTGTAACCCCAGCCCAAATCCAGCATGGGGCTGCCTAGGCTCTAGCAACGTGACTCCCTGTAATGTCAAAGGCTGGGGGCTGAGACACTGGCGCAGGACCTAGAACGGGAAGCGAGTAACCAAGCACTGATGGGGCCAGGGCGGGTAGAATTAATGAAGAACAGTGGAGGGGCCTTGGAAAGATGAGGCAGGACCCAGAGGAAACGGGGTCCGAGACCAGAGCAGTGCCAGAGAGTGGGAGGCGGCCCGAGAGGATGAGACTGAGGTCCAGAGGGCACAGTTTCCGGCACCAAGGGCACAGGGCGGAGCGACCCAGAGAGAAGGGACGGAACCTGGACAGGATAGGGGCGGGGACAAAGGCCGGAGGCGGGGCGCAGAGGGAAGTGGGCGGGGCCCCCGCGGAGCGTGGAGCCCGAAGGACAGGGGCGGGGCCGGGAGAGGACGGGGGCGGGGCCTGGAGAGGACGGGGGCGGGGCCTGGAGAGGACGGGAGCGGGGCCGGGAGAGGACGGGGGCGGGGCCGGGCTCACTCTTCTGGCAGGCGGGCGGGGCTGCGCTCCAGGACAGGTCCCATTGGCAGGTGAGGATGTCGGAGCCGAGCAGCTCGTAGCCCGGTTCGCACTGATAAGTGAGCACTGTGCCCCGGATCAGGTCCCCGTGGGAGGCCGTCCTCCAGCCCCACTCCGGCGGTGGCAGCTCCGGGCACGTGTCGTTCCTGGGGACCTCTGCCGGGTAGAGACGGCGAGTTCAGGGGCTGCCCTGCGACCAGGGCACCCGTCCAGCCTCGTGGGGCCTCGCTCCTGCTGGAACCCTGCCCATCTGGGGACCCCAGACCTCGGTACCTTTGAAGTGCAACACGAAACCCTGGCCCAGGCCCGGGTTTGGGGGCCCGGGCGGCGCCTGGAACTGCAGCGTGAGGTCGGGCCCAGAGGAGAGGAGGCGGCGGCGCGGTTGAGGTCCCCGCAGCTGGGCCAGGACTCGGGCGCTGGGACCATCCCCGTCGAACAGTGTCAGCATGTCCCCTTCGCGCACATTCAAGCTGCAGGGAGTAGGACCAGATATGGAGGCTGGACTACGATCCGATCCGTCTGGCCCCTCCTCAGTCTTGGCCAATTACGGGCTTCTCTCTGCTGGTCTCTCCAGGTTCCACTAGTTCTGCGGCTCCTCCTCGTGCTCTTGATCATCCCGCCCAACTCCAGGCCCCGCCTGAGGACCGGCTTTTGGCCACGCCCGCTTCCGGTTCTGTCCAGTCCCGTTAACTACCTCATATCAAGTCAGCTCACTGCACTCTCCCCACACCCACTTTAGTTCTGTTGGTGCTGCAACAACTTGGGCCTGGGTCCCGGGGATCTGCTCCGGGGTGGCCTCAGAAACAGCCCCAGTGGGAGATTCCAGACCAGATGCCCTTTCCCACAATAGCCCGGAGGAAGGCCGTTTGTCCAAGACTGGCTGACTAGCGGTGTGTTCCCAGGTCTACCTGACCACCCACACCACCGTCAGGAACCTTTAGTCTCCTCATTCACCAGACCACACATACACCCAGTCCTGGGTAGACACAGGAGCTGCCAGGCTGGGGGTGCAGGTTAGTGTGTTGTTACACCAGTTTGCTGAGCCCACACCCATTGCATCCTCTGCGGCACCCAAACCTACATCTCGACTTGGAGCAAGATGCGCTTCTCCTCCTGGACATGGAGGCCCCACACGCAGTCCTGGCCGGGGCTATAGCTCTGGGGCCAGTCTGGAGAGAGCACCACACCAGCCGGCTCCGACAGCTCCCCTCCGCACATGGCTAGGGTAGAAAGGGTGTCAAATTCAGGACCCAGGTGGGCATGTAGTCTCCATTTCACCACAATCCTCACCACTCCCAACTGTATGCACCAGACCGCCTCACGGATTCCCTGCTACCTGTTTTTTTCTTCCACCCCTAGTCCTGCTGCATCCAATCCCCAGCCCTGCTCTTAATTAACCCCGCCCACTCTCCACCCAGTCCACCACTTTGCCCAGCTCCACTTCTAGCCGCCCAGCTCCACTTCTAGCCGTTGGAGACATTTAGGTTGTGACCCCTGGATTCTGTAACAAGCCCACCAATCATTTAGTTCTGAAAACGAAGTCTCTGAAAGGGACAGAGATTACCCAAGGCCTGCGTTTATTAGGTTGGGGTATGCAGGTCTCCGTGAATGGCCTTCCTAGGATTCCCAGCTCGGGGGGTAGTCTGTAGACTGAAGTCTTACTGGGATATGGAAGGCTCACCCTTGCAGGCTGGCTCGGAGTCATTCCAGTGGGGTTCTGTGGGATCCACACATTCGATGGCATTGGGGGGACCAGGGGGCTCCAAGGCATATCCTGGGAGGCATGAGAAGGTAGCCAGCGCCCCTGGGCGGTACTCAGGGTCTGTGGTGGTGACATTGCCGTGTGCCAGGAAGGGGGCGAAGCAGCGATCTTCTTCAAAGGCTAAGGAAGGGTCAACCACACACATTAAGCATTAGGACAGGCCTCAAGGGGTCTCAATTGGGAACTTGGGCTGAATGCAAGGGTTGCTTGGCCATTCAGTGGGCTGCTTAAAATTGAATGCCTTTGGACTTAGCTTTCACTCTCCAGTTTCCCTAAAACCCTAACAGTCCTTCGTACATTGATGTTACCTCCCCAGCCTCTGGAAGGAAGCCCCTAGGCTAGTCAAATCCTAGCCACCGTTCTACAGATGAGGAAACTAAGGTCCACAGACAAAAAACCAAACTTGCCCACGGTCACACAGTAGGGCAGTGGCAGACCTGAGTCTGAGACCCAGGTTGCTTGATTACCAGCCACAAACACTTGCCTCTGGAAATGGCAAAGGAGGGGGTGGGACGGGGCCCCAGGACACTGGCTCGTGGGGGTGTGTTCTCTTCTCAAGCATAACTGCTGGATTCTGATAACCCCTGATGATCCATGCTGGGCTGGCACCCAAAAGTGCAGCTGACACAAAAGCTGTGTGTTGACTTTGGACAAAGCCAGGAAAATGAACATTTGTAGAGCATTTTTGTTTTCCCACCTGACCATACCTTGGCTGCAAAATTCTCTGAGCTAAGATGTCGATACCTGTGATACCGAACAGGAGTCCGATGCTCCTGAGTCAGCAGTGGCCCACACTGCGGGGGCAGGCCTCCAACCTGGGCATGCTCCTTGCACTCTCAGAATAGAACATGCAATTTATTTTGTAGATTCACTGTCTATCTCACTGTTACTTAACCTTATAAGGTATCATGGCCAAATCCTACACATCCATTAGAGCCCAGAGCCAATTCCATTTCTCTGATTCTCAGAAATGAAATGAATCAACCCTTTGATTCATTTCATTTCTGAGCACTTCACTTTCTTTGTCTCTCTCCTGCTACTATTTGCACAAATCCTCTGCTACAGCCACACTGAAATTCTGTTTCCCAAACATGCCTTTCTCTACCTCTTTACCATTGTTCACACTGTTCCTTTCACCCGAAACATTAATTCCCAATTTCTCTCCTTTAAAACTATCTCTATCTGTAAGGCCCAGCTCAAATGCCCCTTCTCCCATGATAACGGACCTCCTTATTTCCACCAGTCCAGCATCCAATCCCCCTTCCTTTTGGCACACATGCCTCCCCCACTTCCAGTCCATCAGGTTCAGTTGGGGCCAAGGAGGGATGGCCTTGTGATGTGGATCTGCCAATCATAATCTGCCCCTAGCTATGGCGATTGGCTCAGGCATAGGCATATGACCTAAGCCAGGCCATCAGAACATTTCCTGGCATTTTTCGCTGAAGCCCTTAGGAAAGTGGTATGCTTGCTCTCTTTTTGATAGAGTTACTAAGTTGGTAGTATGTTAATTTGGCACTGCTGGGTTCACCACAAACTGAGTGCTGGAGAATGAAGCCAACACAGAGGAAAGAACTGAGAGGTTAAGGTAACTGGTCCCTTGGCTGTGTACCTGGATCCAGCCATATATGAAGCTTAAATACAAAAGGCCACCTCATGAAATCAGAAGGGGCCCATATGAAGGGATCCTTGTCGTTTTGGGTGGGGAGGCAAGTCAGGTTTCAGGAATCCAAACACGGAGATGAGCAGGGATAGAGTATGTGCTTGTGACCGTGTGTGGGCATCAGGAAGAGGGGAAGGCACAGGGGTTGGGGCCCTGGGGGTGGGGTGGGGGGCAGTTACCTTCAAACCGGAGGCTTAGCAGCAGGGGATTGGCAGGAGTCTCTGAAAGCAGCTCCACATAGAGGGACTGGGCGTCACTGATGAGGCCCCGCTCAGGGACATCATCCATGTCAGAGTCGTAGATGACCGGGGACAGGGGACTGCCCCCTGAGCGCACCATCAACCTGGAGTGGACAGAGGGTGGCCAGGAGCTCAGTCTCCCCTCAGAAGCTGCTTCGTCTCTTACCTGCTCTTCTTGTTTTCTTATAAGTGCCGCGCTCGCCGGCTGTGCCACTGGAGCGCCTTGCTTATTTTCATGGCTATTGTTTTCCAACATTAATTATATGCCATGTACTTAGCTAAGCCTTTACATATTTTATCATGTTTAATGCTCACAGGAAACCTCTCATTTTATAGATGAGGAAATTGAGACCCGGAAAGATTAAGTAGCCTGCCTAACGTCACCTAGCAACCACTGGGCAGAGCTGGGATACCAGTTTGTTAGATAAATAATATGATGATGACGACCATGGCAAACACATTTCTAGTGCTTACTGTGTGCTGGGCACACTAAGCACATTGCATGCCTTAATGCATTTATCCTCACAGGAAACTTGCGAGAGGTACTGTTACCTCCATGCTGCCAATGAGGAAACGGGCACAGAGAGGCTGAGAGATTCATCTAAGCTCCCACGGCTACTGTCTGAGAGGACTAACCTGTGTTTGACACAGACCGCAACTGGGACCCACCCAAGGTCTGTCTGTCTCCCACTGCAGCCTCCCTCTCTCCCTGAGGTGGGGACTCTGACCCCAGGCCCAGACCCTCACCGGTCATTGTCCTCATCTAGCGAGACCCTCTCGAAATGCAGGTGCAGCCGGCGTCCCTCAGCTGCTTCGATGACCCAACGGCAGGTGAGGTTGGGCCCTGCAGCTCCCCCGGGCTCAGGTGACACGATACGGCCCAGTGTAGCATTGTGGATGGTGCCACCACAGGATGCTGTGGGCAGAGGAGGGGCAGGTTAAGGTGACTTGTCCTCCCAATCTTCAGAGCTGTCGCATCCACACCTTTGCCTGGGACCTGGCCTCAGCATGGCCTCTGCCCTACATGCCCACCCCAGAGAACAGGACCTTTCCAGGGTACTGCCCAGGTGCGCACCCAGACCTGGAATAAGAAAACCCAGAGTGGACACCCCCAGGACAGAGACTCCACCCAAATGAAGACATGCTGGGATGGGTAACCATGGGGGAGCCCGTAATTTAAGCCCTCAGATGGAAAATCTTCAAGCTGGGACCCCCAGGAGGAACTCTTCAGGATAGAGCCCCCCCACAGTTTGAGACTCCAGCCCCCCGCCTCCCTGCCCCAAGAACGGTTTCTTCTAGGATGAGACGTCTCCAAAAGAAGGGACCTCCAGAACGGTGACTCCCAATATGGAAACCTTCCAGGTGGGACATTCCCTGATGGAGATCCCCCAACGATGGGGACTTCAAGGATAGAGACCTCAGTGTAAACAGCTCCAGATGGAGGCCCCAGGATAGCAACTCTTCAGGGTCCAACCCCCCCCAAAGATAGAGACCCCCAAGAGAGAACCCTTCCAGTGGGGTTCCTAGGACAGAAGCCCCCACCTATTGTGGCAGGAGACTCACCCATGCAACTGGGGGGTTCACCGCTCCAGGCTGGCCGGGTGCTATTGAGGCAGATGAGGGTCTCTTCACCATGCAGCTGGTAGCCTGAATCACAGTGGAAGGTGGCCGTGCCCCCAGGGTGCAGGTCTGTCACACTCACGTCCCCATGGGCCGGCCGGGGAGGGAAGCCGCAGCTCAGGAGGTAGGCTGGAGCGGGAGAGCAGGGAGGAGGGGGGTTCATGTTCCATGTCACCCTCCCAGTACCCCAGCACTTCCTCCCCTCTTTCCAGGACCCCCTGGGGGCACAAAATGGTTCCATACTGGACTCCTCACATGGGCACACTGTCTCATGAAGAGCTCATTTCAACATCTCTTATCTCCTCTGATTTTTGTAATGTACCCACTTTGCCCTTCACTTGATAGATAAGATACCTGAGACTCAAAGAAATTCTGGATCCTAGAATTCTTTTGCTGTGTGACCCCAGGCAAATCAATTGACCTCTCTGACCCCATCCAGCTCTAATAATAACAAATAATATATTTGCAGAGCTTCTTCGCCTTCCAAAGTGAGTTCACACAGTGCTTTTGAGGTAGTCAGAGAAACACTGTGACCTATTTCTAGATGCAGCCAGTGAGCATTCAAGTTATTCGGTGCATTTTCTCCCCTCTACACACGCAGTGGACTTCCACTGAGGTACACTAGGGTATTATGCCCTCAGCTTTCACCCAGAGGAACCAAATGAAACTCCTCTAGAAACTTTGACTATTTCACCATTAAAGGCCTTCATACTCACTGCTCCCTAAATGAATCTCCCCGTGTAGGTGAAATGCTAGGGCAGTGATGGCGAATCTCTGACACGCGTGTCAGAGGTGACACGCAAACTCATTTTTTTGGTTGATTTTTCTTTGTTAAATGGCATTTAAATATATAAAATAAATATCAAAAATATAAATCTTTGTTTTACTATGGTTGCAAATATCAAAGAATTTCTATATGTGACACGGCACCAGAGTTAAGTTAGGGTTTTTCAAAATGCTGACACGCTGAGCTCAAAAGGTTCGCCACCACTGTGCTAGGGAAAGCTTTGCTTTCATTAAAGAACTGTTTTGTCTTTTCCTTTCTTGTTGTAAGAACCGTGTAATCTCTCTATTATTTTCTCACTGGCCGCTAGGAAGCTCAGAACCAGATTATGGCTTATCCCTGACAACGAAGGCTTGTCCACAGTCTATTTTCTCAGCTTTAATAAACATTACCTGATACCAATTTTTCCTTACTTATTCTATTTAATTTTATTGCTTGAATTCTTTTTTGAAAGTCTCCTGAAATTCTTGTAGAATCATACGAGATAAAACAAAGAAATAGAAAGTGACTCGGTAGTAAATTATGGACTCTGAACTTGATCTTGACAGAGCTCTGTGTGTCTGTTTCAGACCAGGCAGAGCTCACGGAGAAGGGCTTCTCGGAAGAAATACATCAAAGCTGGGCCTTGTAGGAGGGGAAGACTACAATTAGCAGAGGGCTTGGGAGACACCAGCTTGCCTAGGCCTTTGCTTTTTGGACTCTCTAGCCCTCAGTGACTCTGTAAGAGACCTGGTCTCTCCCTATATTCAGAATTCAACAAGTAGCTCCTTGGCAGGGTCCTGGGGAGAAAAAGATGAAAAGACTCAGGCCTTACTCTTTGGGAATCTACAGACTACTGGGATAGACAGACATAAAAACAACTTTCTAGGAAACATTGATTTGAATAAATGTTAGCCTCTGTGATGGCTCTCCAGGACCAAGAGAATCGAGTCTCAGTACTTTGTTTATTTATTTATTTATTTTATTGGGTTTTTTTAGGTCTCAGTACTTTAGATTGACATACAAGCCCCACAGCAGGGTCCTGCCCAGCACATCCACCTCCAATTCTCATCACCTATGGCCCATACAGTATATCCTGCATAGTATAGGTTGTGACTCCTTATGGTCTCACCTCCATGGTTTTTTACACCATTTCCCCTACCTTCAAGGCCCTCTCTGGCCTTTTCTAATCTTTCAGGGAGTAACTGATGTGCCATCTCTTTCAGGAAGGCTTCCTGACCCTTTCTCTCCCCAGTAGAGTTGGTTGCTCTCTTGCCTATACACAGTCCCACACATATCTATATATATAAAAGCCTAATATGCAAAGTGACCACTAGGGAGTGGCATGGAATGAAGGAAGGCCCTGGCCGGCAGCCAGCAGCTGCTAGGGACCCTGCCCATGCACAAATTTCATGCACAAATTTCATGCACTGGGCCTCTAGTAAGTTTATAATCACATTAACCACTGTCTATTGCCATTAAGAGATGGAACCAAACCTTATTTATTTTGTCTTCTAAAAGCCTGGCCTAGCTGATCAATTGGTGCAGCCAAGCAGCACTGTGACAGTGCAAAGAGCACTGGTTTTGGAGACAGGCAGATCTGAGTTCCAGATAATAACTTATTAGCTATATGATCTTCAGCAGGCAACTTCACCTCTAGGGCCTCTAACCTATAACTGGCAATAATAATCCCTATCAATAAGGATTGGCCTTTAAGTGAAACAAACAAACATGCAAAGCAGCCAGCATATAAAAAGTGCTCAGAAAATGTTAATCCCCTGCGTCTCACCAGCCGTAATTAATGAATGACTGGGAGTCAGGGAATCGCAATTCTGACCCTGCAATGAATTTGCAGGTGACTGAGCAAACCACATAACCCGAGTCTTTCTCTTCCTCCCAGAGATGGAGTTGACAATGGCCACCCCCAGGGTTGCTGTGGGAACAAATGAAACAGTTGTTGGGCTTGGGGTGAGGGGTGATGGAGACTTTGGTCTGTCAGAGAAGCTAATGAGGCCACGCTGGACCAGAGGCCCAGCTAGGGCACAGCTGGAAGGGCTTAAACAGGGTTTTGGTCCCAAAGGTGCCTGGAGAAGCTGTACAGCAGGGAAGACAGAGATAGGAAATGAAGGCCAATTTATGAAGTAACCCTGCTTCCCCAAATGTTCTACTTAGCCTAGAGTCCTATTTTCAATGCCCCAGAGAAGTGGCTGCTTAACGGAGGCAGCAGGGGAACATTCTGTAATATCTGAAGTCCAACCCTCTGCCCGAGGCCCTCAGGCATGCCCTTGCTCCCCAACAACTATATATGGCCCTGACTACCAACTGTGTGCCCTCAGTTCACTGGTCTCTCCACGAATAGGTCCGGCGCTGGGTGCCTCCACCTTGCACATATGAGTCCCTGGAGCAGGTCCCCAGTGGAAGCCTCAGAAAGGCTGGAGAGGGTATGAAGTGGGGATATAAGTTGTGTGTGTGCCCTGGGAAAGGGGTATGGGGTCAGCAAAGCTAACAAAGGGGCAGGCAAGGCCATGAGGTGATATGAAAGGGACATTGACTCAACCCAGTTTCCTTGTCTCTGAGGAGCATAGGAAGGCTTTTTTGAGAGGCAGCGGCGTGTGGGACGGGACAGTGGCTGGGCCCTCTGCACGCATGTACACATGTATGCTAGGACATACACTTGCATTGTGGGAAGGTTCCCCGTACACACAGGCGAGTGTGGGTATACACGTGTGTAGGTTGTCTGTGGATAGGTGCTCATGAATGCAGTCATGCACGAATATATTCCCCTTCCCTGCCCCAGGAGTAAGCAGGTTCTTTCTTGGTCTCAAATCTGAGGCTGTCACTATCCTACTTTAAATACTTCAAAATACTCGCCCCCCGCCCCCCTTACCAGAAGAAGAGTCTGAACTCCTTACTGATGCTAATAAGAGCATGATCCTGATCCAACCTTCCTCCCGGTCTGGTCTCTTAGCTTACTTCTCCTGCCTCCCCTTTCTGTGCTTTGGCTGTAATAGCAACGACTGACATTTTCAGCTCTCACTGTGTACCAGATGCTATTTTAAGCACTTGTCATGTATTAACTCATTTGAGCATCTTAATAAGACCACAAGGTAAGTATTGTAATCCCCATTTTTCAGATGAGACAATGAAAAGTGAGGTACTTGTCCCAGGTCACAAAGCTATGACAATTCTATCTTCCATGATGACTTACTTCAGCTCTTCAAGGGGACCACAGTCTTCTCCTCTCTGGGTCTCGGGGTGTGCTTTTCTATCCGTCTTGACGTCTGCCTTCCTTCCTCTTTTGCTCCCTCCTACCCTTTCCCTAGCTAACTAATCTTTTAGGTCTCAGCTTAATCTCTCCTCCAAGAAGGTGTCCCTATATTCCATAGGGGAAATTTAGGTCCCTTTGATATTTGCTCCTTCTGCCTGTATTCCTCCACCATAGGGATAAGGGTCCTTAGCTCACCGAGTTATAATCATCCTGATTACTTGTCCATCTTCCTACCTAGATTCTGAGTTGCTTGAAGTCAAATTTACATGTGGCTTCTTCATTCCTCTTCCCAAGGCTAACCCAGGGCCAGTATGAAGTGGGAACTAGCTAAGCATTTGTTGAGTGAATGGATGAGCTGTCACTTGGATGCATGCACACTCAGACATAGGCCTGTAACTGTGCCCAGGCCCCCTCTGAGAGTTCTGCCCCCAGGGTGCTAGTCAGGAGGAAAAGTCCCCATGTTGCCCTGTGCATGGAAGTCTCCGAGGGATGTCCCTTGTGCCAGTGTGGCCCCTGCCCTTCCACCAGCACCCTGGACTCTCACCCTGATAATGGATCCTGAAGCCACCGCCCCTTGGGACTCGAGGACTCTGGAAGTGCAGGAGCAGCCGGTTGGTTGGACTCCGAAGGACCTGTCCTTCTCCCAGCATGGAGGAGTTGGCCAGCAGTCGGGGGGCCAGGCCTGGGGCTCCCCCACCAGCCAGCACCAAGAGTTCCTCCTCTCGAGACAGGTTCAACGTCTGCACCTACAGAAGCCAGACCCAGACTCACCAGGGTAAGTCAACCCGGGTGGAAAACCCCAGAATCCCCCCCCCCCCCATCACCACCACCCTTGCTTTCCTTTTCCCTGTATGTGGCAGCCCAAACACCATGGTGACAGTGGCCAAGTTGTAGAACTCCAGGTGTCTTCCTGACCATCAGAAGGCAGGCCCATTTGTGTTAGGAAACAGGTTCTCTGGCTCTTAGGTCAAATCTGTGCACAGCCTAGGACCCAGAGGAAAGGGCTTGGCGATTTCAGGATTATATGCTACGTCCACTTACCTGGATCTCAATGCCGTAGCCAGGGTAGACATGGATGCTGTATGTACAGTCCAGGAGTCCCAAGGTGCGGCTGGTGCTGCTTCCTAAATCTGGAGACTCAATATGCCCTTCACCTTCGGAGATGTTGTTATTACACAAAACTAAAAAGATATATAAGTGGCTGGAGTCAAACAAATCCCTGTGTTCTTGCTCTCCCAGTCATGCCACTCTGGGGGCCCTCATCTCTCTTCTCCCCCGCACCCCTCGTCATCTTTATCCAAAGCTCCTCTCCCCCTGTGCCCAGAATCCCCTTCCCCCAACTGTAACATGGATAAAACATAGAAAGGTACATAGTATGGGTGCATATTATTAAGCAGAAACTCGCCTATTTGTACCCAGATCCCTTCTTGCACCCCTTCCCTGCAGTGTCTCTCCTATTCATATCCTGCTCCTCTTGAACACTACTCCATTCCCTTTCAATCGCCTCACCTGGGCTTGTCACCGTCGTGGTGACAGTTGTTGTGGTGATGATGGTGGTCGTGGTCTCCTCCTCTCCTCCCTCAGGCCCAAGGGGCGGGCCTGGGGAAGTGGGGCCAGAAAGGGGTGGGGCTGTAGTTCCTGGGGGCGGGGTCAGCAGCTCGGGCGCGGTGGGGCCTGCCCCCCTACCCTCCTTAGGGGTTACGGCTGTTGTCAGAGGCCCTGTCCCTGGCTCAGTGGCCCGTGGCAGGGAGGGTGCTGCAAGAGTCTGGCCGGCTGGAGGGGTGGCTAGCGTGGGGTCTGGATCAGATCCTGGGACAGTGCAAGGGAAGTCAGAGCACAGGAAGAGCAAATTGGTGGGTCTTGAGGGGGGCACAGGGCTGAGGGAAACTGGGGGTTCCCCACTGAACCCAAAAGACCTCCCCCACAAGGTGCAGACCCTCCACTTCTATTTTCCCCACCCCAGTTCCTCACCTCCTCCCAAGGCTTCTACAGCCTGACATCCTCTCCCCTTTCTCCTCCGCTGTTCACCTCTGGACCAGGTCCTTCCACTCGGATGGTCTCCTTGAGCCTCTCTGCCTCCCCATTCAGATCTGGTTCCTCTCCTAGCTACCGCTTTCTCTTTCCTCTGTCTTGCTCTCTTTGGAACTCTTTTTATTTCTCTGATTAGTATTCTTATCACTCTCCGATTTTATGATTCTAGGTTTACTAATCTCTGCATTTCTCTTTCTCTTTTTGTGTCTTTCTCCCACCATTTTTCTGATTCTGGTTCTCTGATTTTCCATCTGTCTTTTTCTCTGATTATCTGTTTTTCTATCTCTTGACCATTCTATTTCTCTGCCTTTGCTCAGTTTTGACCCTCTCTAACCATCACCCTCTATCTCCCTCTGAATTTTAATTCCTTGAGTGAATGTCTCTCCCTCTGCCTCTGTGCTACTCTTGCCACTCTGGGAGCCTCACCTGGCAGGTAGCCCATCTCTGGGCCCCTCCTCAACAGGGCCCCATGGAGCAGCTCAGCCAAGGCCTCCGAGGCTACCGTGGGGGTCTCGCTCCCAGGCTCCAGCAGTGCCTCCTCCTCTTTCACGGGCAGACCTAAGAGATGAAGCTGTATGAGCCCTTCCACTGCCCCACACTCCCCATTCACCAGAAAGATCTTTTCCAGAGTTATTCCTCCCTCCTCTGCTGGGCCTGTAGGCGCTCACAGGGTCCCAGGCTGAGCTGAGAGCTAAGATGGAAGGAGAGGCTCCCAGCTGCCCCTCACAATCTTCCACCTTCTTCTCCACGTTTCCCCCCAGGCGGTGTGGGCCTTCAGTGAGCACCTTGGCTCCAATGAACCCTGACATGCCAGCAGGGTGGAGAAGGGGGGATGGTGCTGCCTTCATTTTCACCTCAGTGGTCTCCTGGTTTCCTGGTCTGACAGCACCTCCCAGCCCTTGCTTCTGCAGTACCCAGCTTTCTCTCTGGATTTCTATCTCTGCAGTGTGGTGTGTTCTCGTTCTCTCTCTCTCTCTCTCTCTCTCTCTCTCTCTCTCTCTCTCTCTCTCTCTCTCTCTCTCTCCTTTCTCATTTCTCTGTGGTCTCTCCCGGGTCTCGCTGAGGGGCAGAGTCGGGGACTGAATATCTGGTCTCTGAGCAGTGCCTTTGCTCATCTGTCTTTGTCCATACATCCAAGAACAGTTGTGTGTGCAGTGCCTGGCATCCCTCCCAGCATCTCCATCTCCTACTCAGGTACTCTGCGTGTTCTGCCGCCTCCACAGACATCCCCCCAACTTTCCCAGCCCTCCTTCCTGTATGTAACCCTTGAGATGCTGCTAAAAGCTACCCTCACTCATTCCCCCACCTTGTCTACAGTGGGGTCAGCGGCTCCAGGTACAAACTGGAAAGCCCTGGCTAGTCGCTTTCCATCAGCTGTGCCCCTCCCCTGCCTCAGCTTTGGAGACCAGGGTGTTCCGAGAAAGGAGGGTAAAGGGCCCCCCTGGGGGCTTTCATGGCCCACCCCCACGGTCCCGTGTCCTTACCCTGAATCCAGGGGCAGCTCAGCAGAATTAGGAGCAGCAGCTGGGGAGGCGGTTGATGCTGGGCCTTGGGAGTCCCCATGGCGACTCACACTGATTTCTCGTCTCTGCGCCTCTCTTAAATAATCTAGCTGTCACCTTTCTTCTGTCTCTATCTTCCCCTTTATTATTTTTCTTCCTGGCAGTTAGCAAGGAAGACAATTTCTCTACCCCTTGGGATGGAGGGGCAGAATTGGGCTGGGGGGTCGCCTGGAGCCCAACCCTCTTTGCCCAATCTCCTCTGTTCTCTGCTCCGGGATCTGAGGGAGAGGGGGCGCGGCTCCGGCTGCAGGGGGTGGAGCCGAGAGGGCCGAAGGACCGGGCCTCCTGGGTTACCCTCCTGGTCGGGCGCCTAGGTCCACCAGGCTGGCTGGATCCCAAGGTGTGATCCAGCTGGGGAAAAGCAAGACAGCTTGTGAGGGGCCGGGCCTGGGGTGGGGTCGGGGATCTACTGGGCTCTAGAGGGGCTTGGCGGGGAGCAGAGGGGGCTGCGGAACCTAGAGAGCCGAAGCTCGGGCACTAGAGCTGCGGAGGGAGAAGCTGAGAAAGGTGTCGAGTCCACGTCAGATCCTGGGGACGGGCGAAGGGAGGGGCCTGAGATTTATTGGGGGGCGGGAGGGAGGAGGAAGTGCAGATGGAGGAAGGAGGGACCATATGAGCCAGGACCGTAATCCTCACTCCCGCGGCCCCTAAGGGAGGCAAGGCAAACTCTCTGGCTCCAGCAGTAATTACGGACCCCTCTCCCTGTTACAGCAACATCTGGACTCTGAATCTCCTCTTCCCAGGCTGCCGAGGCTCTCAATATGCCCCAACCCTTATCCAGACCCTCACCCCATGGACTTCCCCTTCCTTTCTACAGAAGCTCCTGTGCAATGGCCTTCCCCGCCCTCCTCCGGGAGAATGGCAAGTTTCCACACTTGTGAGAAGCCCAAGGGGTAACCAGGCTGGCTTTTGGAGAGGAGACACCCTTCATCTTACCAGACAACATACAACCTGAGCCCGGCCAGCCGGCAGAGGCTTTAACTTTTTTATTTCTGGCCTCTCACACAACGCCTCCGACGCGTTTGTTCAGCACCACCAGCGCGCGGACAGCTCTCCCGGCCGCGCCTGAGCGGGCCCCGCCCCCAGCGCCGTGGGCGATTGGCTGAAGCCGCCTTCACTGTCAATCAGGCTGCCCCCTGGGGCTGGCTCCGGGGGAAGCGAAAGGGGAGGCGGAGTCACAGGCAGATGGGTCCAGGGTTCTGCAGACCCAAGGACAGGCCACAGCGTCCCCGTCCGCAGTCCGCCCCACCCCTTGGTTTGTCCCGCCCCTACTTTACGCATTGCGGGGTGGCTGGAGGTTGGCAGCTTGCTCCTGGCGCCGCACGTGGCGCCCTTTCGGGGTCCGGGAAGAGGGAAATCCGGCGACGACTCCCCTTCCCCCTCCCCCGTGGCTGAGTTGCCGCTGCCACTGGGCAGGGGCTGCGGTAACTAAGCTGAGCAGACTGCTGTAGGGAGGAATGACGTCAGGATGTGTGAGAGCCAAGGAAGGAGCGAGTAGGGGAGAAAGAGCGAGAGAGAGCGAGAGCGAGAGGGAGAACCCGCCGGCCGGGTGGAATGAGATTAGAGGGCCGGAGGAGAGAGAGGGGGAGAGAGGAGAGAAGCCGCTGCGGAGGACGACTGGTGGCAGGTTCCGGTCCCCGGGGCTGCGGGTCCAGCTGGGGTAGGAACTGCTGTCCAGGGAGGCTAGAAGGAAAGGGGCGGAGGGTGGGGGTGGTGGGAGGAGAGAAGAAAGGAGAGGGGGAGACGGAAGGTGGGGAAAGGAGAGGCGGAGGGTGAGAGAGGAAAGTGCCGGAAGGAGAAAGGAGAGGTAAGAGAGTGGGGGGAGAGGCAGAAGAAAGGAAAGGGAGAAGAGGGTTAAAGGTACATGAGGGAGGAGAGAAAGAGGGAGATACAAGGTGGAGAGAAGACTTCAGAAGGAGGGAGAACAGAGTGGAAATGTGGAAGGGAAACAGCCCCGGGGGGAACCAGGGAGTAGCCATGGAGGAAGAACTGGGGGGACAGGGGAACTGGGGTCTGGAAGATGCCCCAGGCCTCTTGGCCATGGCCTCCCTGCCCATCATGCCCACATGGCCTTTGCCCCTGGTCTCCTCAGCCTTCACCCTGCTGCTCGGAGCCCTCACTTCCCTCTTCCTCTGGTACTGCTACTACTTAGGCTCCCAGGATCTGCAGGCCCTGGCGGCTGGGAGTCGGGCTGGGGGTGTCAGTGGTGGGCCTGGGGGATGCTCTGAGGTCGGCAGGCCAAGCCCAGGGAGCTCTGGGGAGGCTGGGAAAGGACCTAGGACAGAAGGACTAGTGAGCCGCCGCCTTCGGGCCTACGCCAGGCGCTACTCCTGGGCAGGGATGGGTAGGGTGAGGCGGGCAGCTCAGGGTGGCCTAGGCCCTGGAGGAGGGCCAGGGGTCCTGGGCATTCAGCGCCCAGGCCTGCTTTTCCTGCCAAACTTGCCCTCTGTGCCCTTCGTGCCGCGGGATGCCCAGCGACATGATGTGGAGCTTCTGGAAAGCAGCTTCCCTGCTATTTTGCGGGACTTTGGGGCTGTGAGCTGGGATTTCTCAGGAACTACCCCTCTGCCTCGGGGCTGGTCCCCACCACTGGCTCCAGGGTGCTACCAGCTCCTGCTGTACCAAGCAGGCCGGTGCCAGCCCAACAACTGCCGCCGGTGCCCTGGGGCCTATCGGGCACTGAGGGGACTGCGGAGCTTCATGAGTGCCAACTCCTTCGGCAACGCTGGCTTTTCTGTCCTTCTTCCGGGGGCCCGGCTTGAAGGCCGCTGTGGACCCACCAATGCCCGGGTCAGATGCCATCTGGGTAAGTAGATGATGCCTGCAGACAACCTCCTTGCCTCTCCTCTGCCACCAGAGCTTTGTACACTGTGTTCTGATCATGCCTCTTCTCAGAATCTTCCACTACAACTGTTGCCCACAGCAGTGGCATTTCCCGAGCTTCAGTTACCTGCAAACTATCTTCATAAGCTTTGCCATAGTCACTTACCACCTGGACTGCGTTTCTTCATATGGACTCCCCCCACATTTTGTTTTACTTACTTAAAAGGAATTCTTATAGAACAATGATAATTAGTATTACTTGTCCTAAATAGAGAGTAATCATAAAAACAAATTTAAACTTCAAAAAAGGCTTTACAAATTTTGGCTAAATACTCTAGTCTGAGACACAAGCCTACACTCTCTTTACTTAGAAGGGAGCAATATTAGTAAGGTGTTAGTGTCATGGTAGCACCAAACTTGAGATGCTCTTTTTGATGTTTTAAAGATGGAGAAAATGGAAAGGAAAACAAGTTTCTGGTTATTTCATTCCATGATCTTATTGTGCTACCAGATGGATGTACCCTTGCCTCAGGATCAAGTCTAGATCCTTTCTCTCCTCACCTCCCATCTGTTCCCTTCCTTGCCTTTTCTCCCACCATGCTTTTAAAATAAAGGCCTTCTGGCTAATCCTGGCAGACACCACATTTATGCTATACCCTTAACCTAAAATGTCTTTACCTTTATCATTTTATCACCTCCTGGAAAACTCGTACTTAGTCTTTAGCACTCATATTTCCAAGTGTCACACCTCCTCTGGGATGTCTTCTTATTCCTCATCATTTCAAGTGGCTGCTCAGTTTTCTCACAGTACTCTGCTGTGTGGTCCCTGGGCAAGGATGAAGTCATTAGTTTCATATCTCGCAGGGAGGGAAGGCCCAGCACACAATAGGTTCTTGAGTTAAATTGTCAGAAGCCTAGGAGGAGATGCCACTTCCTCCAGGAAGCCTTCCCTTTTCTCTAAAACAGAATAGATTGTGCTTTGCACTGCATTTCCCTTACCTCCCAGTACTTCTTTCAGCCAGTATCTATAATAATAAAAGGGTAATATGCTAATGAGACCAGACGTCTTCCTGACATCGTTCCTGACGAAACCGGGGCCTGAGGGAAGTCAGCCGGGTCCCGGGTGCCTGCGGGCGGCCCAAGGGAAGCAACCAGGGTCCCGGGTGCCGGAGGAAGGCAGGCCTGTTCTAGCACACATTTTCGTGCATCGGGCCTCTAGTTGTTTTATAATGATATTCCAGTCACCTTCCAGAGAGCAAGAGGAACCGCCACAGAACCTGGTGCTTAGGACCCTCAGTCTGCTTTTTGTGAATGGGATGGGCGCCTTCCATACAGGCTGGAATGCTGGATGCCTGGGTCTCTTCCCACAGGTCTGAAGATCCCCCTTGGCTGTGAGCTGGTGGTTGGGGGTGAGCCCCAGTGCTGGGCTGAGGGACACTGTCTACTGGTGGATGACTCCTTCCTGCACACAGTGGCTCATAATGGTAATGGGGTCCCATTCTGCTAGAAGGGATGAGGGACTAAGAGTGGAGGGGAATAGATTAGAGGCTGCAGACTCAGGCCCACTGGCTTGCTGTTCCAGTGCCACCATTTTCTAGTTGCATAACCTTGAACAAGTCATAATTTCCAATCACCTGTGAAATGAGGAAACTGCTTTGTTGGTCAGGTGGCTGAAGGATTAAATAATGTAGGTGCAAAGCGGTTAACAGCACAAGACCCTGGGCCTGGATTGGAGTTCCTGTGCTCCTCTGGCACCTACATGGTTAGATGCTACCAAGTAGGTGGCAACACCTTAACTACACGTATGTTGTCAGGCCTAAGGGCCTCCTCCACCCTTGTCAAGGGGAGTGCTAACCTTCTCTCTTTTAATACAAGCTCCTTACTAGCTCCTTGAACTTGGGCAAGTTATTTAACCTCCTTGTGCCTGTTACTTTGTATAAAATAGGAATAATTATGGAACTATCTCAGAGTTTGTTTTGATGATTAAGAGTTAATGCACATAATGAACAGTGCCTGGCATTTACTTACAAAGTGTTTGCTTTTTTGGTTACTTGGTGAGTGCTCTGGCATATAAGTGCTTAATGTCAGCTACTCTCCTGCCTCCATTCCCATGTACCCTAGGCTCCCCTGAAGATGGACCTCGAGTGGTCTTCATCGTGGACCTTTGGCATCCCAACGTGGCTGGAGCTGAGCGCCAGGCCCTCGACTTTGTCTTTGCACCAGACCCTTGAAGGAAGGTGTTGCCTTCAGACATCTGGGCTGGAGATATGCTGCACTCAGGGGTGGTTGCATGGTTGCCAGGACCTCCTCTCCAATGCAGGAGGCGGGGTGGGGCTGAGGGTGGGAACTTGCTAGTGAAACATCGAAATACAGATCTTAAATTCTCTTTTAACTCCTGACTACTTTCTTCCCAGCTACCAGCCCCACGGCAGGGGTGCATGTCTTCCCATCCAGCTAGCTAGGTACCCCCTTAACACAAGCCATCACCCTGGCCATCATCCTGGGAGTTAGCACCAGATCCTCAATTCAACTTTATTTCAATAATTTAATAGAAAATTAAAATAATAAATAATATGAAACAGATTGAGAAGACAGCTGAGTTGGTGCAGGCCCAGGCCAGCCTAATACAAACTTAAAGAGGTAGGGAGAATGGAAAGGGAAAGAGGGGGCAAACTACCCTGCACAATGGTTGGGAGGCAGCTCAGAATGTGGAGGGTGTTATTAAGGGCTGGCTTGACACTTTGGCATGTACAATGCACTAAAAAAAGAGAACTCTAAATCATTTTAAACCAGCTGGTAAGGGAAAATAGCAGGGCCAGAGTGGTAATGAGGGAATGAATGTAGGCCTTCTGAAGGGCTCTGACTGAGGGAAGGGGCTGGAATGTACCATGTCATTAGCAATAAAGTGAGAATGAATGGAAAAGGGCCAAAGTGAAAGTACCATGCAAAAAAAGGACACAAGGGAGACCCACGACTTGGCCAGCAAAGCCGGGGCAAAGGTATGGGAAGGGGAGGAAAAGAAAGAGGGACTGGGTCCCAGTGGCAGAAGAAAAACAGGGAGAAAGGTCAAGATCAGTCCTTGAAGACAATCTGTTGGCCATGAGGACGCTCGTCATGGGTGATGTGGCGCCGGACATGGATCCTGCGGACACGATGCTCTCGGTTCTCCTCATCCTCCCCTCGGGCCATCCCACCACCTCCAGCTACACCCCCTGTGGCCTCCAGGAGGGCTGGGTCTGGGCCCCGGGGAGTCTCGTAGATCAGGATGTTCAGGGTCTCCTCAAAGATCCGGGCCTCTGGGAATTCCACCTGCAAAAGGCCAGCAACCCCCAGCTCCCATCCTCTGGTCCAGCCACACAGCAACCCCTCTCCCCCAGCTGCTCCTGCACTGGCACACCTCCTAGTCTTTGCAATCACAGGTTCTTTGGCCTGGACTGTCCTCTCTGCAACTTCTTAACTCAGCAAAGTCACACTTATACTTCAAGGTCCAGCTCTGAAGTCAGGCAGTTATTTATTTTCTCTCCTTTGCTACTAAGTCTTTTGGTATATTCTTTCCTTAGACAAATCTTACTGAATAAGTGCACTGTACCAGGTGTTGTTCTAGACATTGGGAACATAGCAATGAACAAAACAAAGTTCCTATCCACAGGAAGTTTACATTCTAGGGGGAGGACACAGACATACATTTAATAAAATATAAACTGTCAGATGATCACAAATGTAATGGGGGGGGAACTATAGGAGGAAAGGGGGTGGGGATAATCATGGCCAGGAATGTTCTCAGAGGGTATTCAGAGAAGGCCTCACTGAGAAGATGACACCTGACCAATGGACAAAGGAGAAGAGGGAGAGAGCCAGGTGGGCAACTAGAGGAAGAGCAGTCTGGGAAGAGGCAACAGTAAGTGTAAAAGCTCTGGCACAGGAGTGGGTTTGGTGGATGATTTGAACATCAGCAGCAAGGCCAATGCACCGGCACAGGGTGATGAAGTAGAAAGGGACGAAACAAAGAGGTGACTGGGGTTCCCCTTGTGTGTCTTGGAGGAATATAACTAACATAACTCTTAACAAACTACCTTCTAATTATTGGTTTATCTTGTTTTCCCAATAACAGAGGAAGCTTCTTAGAGCTGGGCCATTCATTCACGCATCAATACGTGTTTCCTAGCTTCCACTATGAGAGACTCTTCTATGAGCCCCACTAGTGCTAGAGAAGTTGGAAGAAAAAAAAGATACAGCCCTACTCTCAAGGAGCTAACACCTTACTACTGACACCCCTCAGCATCCCCAGCTTTATTTAGCTAAGGAAGAAGAATGACCAACTTTGTCTGCGACTGTCAGTGTGAACGTTCATGAGTGAAGGTGTCTCAAATAAAGTGATGCTTAACTTGGGTCTTAGAGATTAAGTACAAGTTCATCAGGCAGACAGGGATGAGGAAAAATAATCCCAAGAAAAAGGAATAATGTAACCCTGGCCGGTAGCTCAGTGGTTAGAGCGCCAGCTGAGCCCTGAAAGGGTAGTGGGTTCAATTCCTGGTCAAGGGCATGTATCTGGGTTGCAGGTTTGATCCCCAGCCCCGGTTGGGGCACGTGCAGGAGGAAACCAATCAATGTCTCTCTCTCACGTTGATGTTTCTTCCCCTCCCCCTTTCCACTCTGTCTAAAAGTCAATGGAAAAAATATCCTAGGGTGAGGATTAACAACAACAAAAAGGAATAATGTGCACAAAGTTGGGGAGGTGTGAAATAGCATTTGATACATAGAGACTTTCAAGATCCCGCCGAAACCGGTTTGGCTCAGTGGATAGAGCGTCGGCCTGCGGACTGAAAGGTCCCAGGTTTGATTCCGGTCAAGGGCATGTACCAGGGTTGCGGGCACATCCCCAGTAGGAGATGTGCAGGAGGCAGCTGGTCGATGTTTCTCTCTCATCGATGTTTCTAACTCTCTATCTCTCTCCTTTCCTCTCTGTAAAAAATCAATAAAATATATTTAAAAAAAAAAAAAAAAGATTCTGGTATCTGAGGCACATCCCTCATGAAGGTCAGAAGAGACCAGGCTGATAAGACTGTCAGAGGCAAGATGGTATGACATCATGATTTACACAGTTAAGACCCCGGAACTTGGATCCTGACTCTCAGTGATAGATTTCCCCCTGCCTGATCTGCTCAGCTGCCTTTGTCCAGGGTCCTGGTCCTGCCAACCACCATAGCCCTCCCTGACCAGGCCCTGAACCCCTTCTGACCTTGGTCTGCTTCTTCTCCGTGGCATAGACAATGGAGGTGCAGCACACCTCGGCGATTTTGCGGCCCTGCCCGTAGAAAGACCAGCAGCAGATCTCGTCCCCCAGTACATCCTTGAGGAAGAGCAGCCGCCCATGGAAGCGCAGGGCCAGTTTGTCAAACAGCTCGATGTTCTTAAGTAGGTTGTCATCTGAAGTGCTGAAGACCAGGGGCCAGGAGGCCTCAGCACAAGTGGCTTCCCACCCTCTGTTCCCCCCAGCATAGGGCCCAGACACCCAGCACTCTGGTCCTGCCCAGGGGTTTGGTGCCCAGCAGGGACCTTCCTCCACCCCTGGGGCCAGGCCACACAGACCTCTGCAAGGAAACAGCATTTGCTGAGCAAATCCCAGCACAGTAGAGTGGCTACCTGTGCAGTCTCTGGAGTCAGGCTGCACCACCTGGCATCCTAGCTCCACCACTTTTTAACTGGGTGAAACTAGGCAAATTACTTCACCTCTCAGTGCCTCAATTTCCTTAGCTGCAAACGAGATCACAACAATACCTCCTTCAAACAACTGTGAGGATTATGTATTAATATATGTAAAGCACTTAGAATAATGCCTGTTACAACATAAGCACTTAGTAAATGCTAGTCATTATCATCAAATCCTCACCAAAACCCGTTTGCTGATAAAACTAAAGCTCAGAAGTGAAAATGACCTGTCCAAGGTACCCAGTGAGCAAGTGGCAGAGCTGGAATTCCCATTCAGCAGGCACTCCTTTCATCCCTCCCTGTGGCCATAGCCCTCCCCTTGGGCCAGGAGCAGGGCTGTCTTGAGCCCAGGGTTCACCCAGGGCGCCTCCCTAGCCCCTGGCAGTCACCTGGTGTAGGAGTACTTGTTGTTACTGCGGTTGTGCAGGAGCTTCACCACGGGCTGTTGGGGGAGAGAGGATGGAGAAGGGTGGGGCTCAGGCTGCAGGGAGAGGCCCCCAACCTCCACCCTAAGGACTCAGGGCCTCACCTTGGAGGTGCTGGCCAGGAGCTGCTGCTCCTCCTGGGGAGATGTCACCATGGGGACGAGGCACAGCTGGGACAGGGTCTCCCTTTTTTGCTGGAGAAGAAGCGGAAGGTGGTTAACAGCACAACGAAAGGTCACTCACCCACTTAAAAGTCTTCAAAAGCTGCTTGCCACCTTTGGGGGAAAATCCAGACTCCTTAGTTGTCCACAAGAGCCTGCAGCATCTGGCATCTCTGATCTTGTCCCTACCTCTCTCCCCGGCTTGCTGGGCGTCAATCCCACATCCGGTTTGTGCCCACCTAACCCTTTGCTGTTCCCACTACCAGAAATGTGCTGGGCTGCATATCTGGCACTTCGGCCAAACGGGTCATGCTGTGCTGTCTGTTCCTAAAACATACAGATAGGAAGGTACTGACATCAGGCCAGGCCTTGAGATATGGTCTCATGGCCTCTTCCCAGCACGCAGGCCGTCTTTCTCAGGAGGCCCGGAAGTCTCATTCCAAATTTGGGAGACAAAAGACTGGGAAAAGTATAAATAAAGAGAGTGTCCTCTATATTGGGGGGGGCCCAGAATTTGAAAGACACCTTTTCTCTGGGCCTCCACAAAATTTAATAATAAAATGTAACTCCTGTAGTCGGCACTGCAGTTCAGCCTTTGCTTCGGCGGAGTGCTGGGACTGTGGTCAGCTGGCCAGCTTAATAAAGGCTCTTAAATTTAAATTCTGAGTCGGTGGTCTATCTTGCTGAGCCAACCCATAACAGAGACACTTTGCACTAAGTTTCTGGCTCCTCCACATCATTCAGATCGCAACTCAAGCAGTGCCCCTCAGGGTGCTGGTCCTCCTCCCTAAGCTCCCTGGCTACAGCAGCCTCCTCTACTTCCTCTTCACAGTATCAGTTCACATTCTTCACAGCACTCAGTTCCTCACATTTTCTCAGTTTTTAGTCTATTTGCTAAGGTCTGTCTCTTCCCATGTAGGTGGTAAGTGCATAGTGTACAATAGATGCTCAGTAATACATCTATTACTCCTGTATAACAAATTAATGAGTCTGGCTGGGTGAGAGGCTGAAGGAAGAATCAGAACCAGACACACAGGCTTCTTTCCTTTTCTGTCTTCTAGAATCGTCATGCCAAAGCTCCTCTCACCTCTCCCGACCTATAAACTAGATGTGCAATTCTAACACAAATTCAAAAAAAAAATTTTTTTGAGACACCCATAAAGCTTTTTCTAAAATTAATATGGAGTAAAAGTCTAGCCCTAACCGGTTTGGCTCAGTGGATAGAGCGTCAGCCTGCGGACTCAAGGGTCCCAGGTTTGAATCTGGTCAAGGGCATGTACCTTGGTTGCAGGCACATCCCCAGTAGGGGGTGTGCAGGAGGCAGCTGATCGATGTTTCTCTCTCATCAATGTTTCTAACTCTCCCTCTCCCTTCCTCTCTGTAAAAAATCAATAAAATATATATATATCAAAAAATAACTGTTTTAAAAAAAAGTCTACTATTATTTAGGTCAATTTAAAAAAGAGCCAGATATTAAAATATCCCACAAAGCCATAATAATGAAAACAGTGTTGTTTTGGTGCAGAAACAAACAATGGTGCACAGTAGAGAGACTGGAAACAGACGAATGTATATATGAGAACTGATATTTACAAAGACAGCACCACAAATCAATGGGGAAGCCCTAACCGGTTTGGCTCCGTGGATAGAGCGTCGGCCTGCGAACTGAAAGGTCCCAGGTTTGATTCTGGTTAAGGGCACATGCCCGGGTTGTGGGCTTGATCCCCAGTCAGGGACTTGCAGGAGGCAGCCGATCCATGATTCTCTCTCATCATGGATGTTTCTATGTCTCTTTCCCTCTTCCTTCCTCTCTGAAATCAATAAAAATATATCTTTAAAAAATCAATGGGGAAAGTATGGAGTGTGTATTGATTATTGCTGTGTAGCAAACTGTTCCAAAACTTAACAGTTTAAATCAACAATCAACATTTCTCAATTTCTGTGGTTCAGGAATTCAGTTCAGCTGGGTGGTCCTGGCATGGGTCTCTCATGAGGTTGCAGTCAAGTCAGCTGGGGCTGCAGTAATCTGAAGGCATGGCGGAGTCTGAAGGATCTGTTTCTGAGAAAGCTTGTTCATATGGCTGTCAAGTTCATGCTGGTTATTGGCTGGAAATATCTGATCCCTGTCCCTTGGACTTCTCCAGAGTTGCTCGAGTGCCCTTATAACATGGCAGATGGCTTCTCCAAAGCAAGTAATTCCAGAGGGAGCAAGGTGGAGGCCTAAATGTTTTTTATGACCTAGTTTTGTCAGACCTACTCAGTGTGGAAGGAAACTACACAAGAGAATGAATTCTGAAAATAAGGTCATTGGGGACTGCCATAGAGGCCGGCTCCCATTGATTCAAATCCCTCCCATATGCAAAACACATCTACGGCTTCCAATGATCCCCCAAAGTCTCATCTCATTACAGCATCAGCTTGAAGTACAGAATCTTGTCATCTAAATCAGGTCCAGGTGGGGATGAGGCGCCTTGGATGAGTTCCTTAACTATAGCTCCTGAAGTACATTTGCTCTTGATCTGAAGGCCTGTGAAGTTGTCTCTCCCAAACACCCAATACACAAGGTGGGACCGACATACTAGTGAGGATACAAACTAGGGAGCTCTTGTTCAAAAGGGCGGGACAGGGGACAGGAGGCACCCAGAAGGCACTGCTTCATGAAAATTCTTAATCCAGCTGGACAAATGTTGGGAGCTCTCTGATGCTTACTCTTACCCCAAAATGATTCTCTGTGGCTTTGGTTCTGCCCCAAGTCAGCCTTCCTTTTCCATGAAAGACAGTCCATGCTTGCAGCTCCAGTTTCCTTAGTCGGTTCCTGCCTGCAGAATTTTGGGGTTCTAAAGGCCTGTTCTCCTCTTGCACTAGCGCTGTGCCTTTTAGTGTTTTTTCCAAAAGAATTTTCTTAAAAATTTATTGGATATCTTATGTCTTGGGGTTCACTTCACTAGGCAAAAGCCACATACACAAATCTCTGTGAAATAAGCTCTTCTCTACTTTGGGCTTGTGCCGAGACTGCCGAGGGGCACCTTTAAGTTTCTTAGATGCACTATTATTTGATTGAATGATTCTCTGAGATATCTTCTTGGATATTTTTGAGATTTTAAAATTGCATCCACAGCTTCCTCTTTAGACCAAGTTTTACTGAAAATACCCTGTATTTGCTCTAGGCCTACAAGCCATTTTTAAATAAATAAATAAATAAATATTGATTTCAGAAAGGAAGGGAGAGGGAGAGACAGAAACATCATTGATCAGCTGCCTTCTGCATGCCCCCTCCTGGGGATTGAGCCCACAACCCTGGCATGTGCCCTTGACTGGAATCAAACCTGAGACCCTTCAGTCCACAGGCCGACGCTCTATCCACTGAGCCAAACCGGCTAGGGCAAGCCATTCGTTAATTTCAACATCATTTGTTATCTGGAAAAGCTGGGAATTTTCAAACTCTAATTCCTGGCTCCATTTTGTTCAACTGTTTTTCTTTTAGCTTACCCTCTCCTCTTTTATTTTACTGTAAGCAACAAGAAACATTGTGGCAACTTCAACAGTCTGGAAGTCTCTTTAGCTAGGTCACCCAGTTCACCAGGAGACAGTGTTGCTAAACTTCTGCCACTACGGAACAAGGATCGCCTTTGCACCAGTTTCCAATAACATTTTCCTCACTGCAGCCTCCTTAAAGGTCATCAGGCTCCTATAAACGAACTCTTTAAAACTATTTAGGCTTTTATTAACTCTTCAAAGTCATTCCAGCTTCTGCCCACTTCCCAGGTCTAAAGCCATGCCCACATTTAAAGTTTTTGTTATGGCCGAATCCCACTCCAGATATCAAAATGTTATCTATTGCTGGGCAACAAATTACTACAAACTTATTGGCTTAAAACAAATAAACATTTATTATCTCACAGTTTCTGGAGGTTGGGAACTGAGATTGGCTTAGCTAGGTGGTCCTGGACCATGGTCTTTTATGAAGCTGGAGTCCAGATGTTGGCCAGGGCTGTAGTGATCTGAAGACCTGAATAGGCCTCCAGGATCCGCTTCTGAGATAGTTCACCCATATGAGTGGGAGTTTGTGCTGACTGCTGGCAGGAGGCTTCAGTTCCTCACCAAGCCAGGGCTGCTTGAGGATCCTCACATGGCAGCTGGCTTCCCTCAGAATGAGTGATCCGAGAGAAGGGCAGAAACAGCAATGACCTAGCTTTAAGTCACACACTATCATTTCTGCAATATCCTATTGGTTACAGAGGTCAGCCCTATTCAGTGTGGGGGGGATTAAACATGAGCCAGAATAAGCAGGAGGCAAGAATTTTGGACAATTCTGGTGGCCATTTTTGTTTAATTTTTTTTTATTGATTTCAGAAAGGAAGGGAGAGGGAGAGAGTGATAGAAATATCAATAATGAGAGAGAATCATTAATCAGCTGCCTCCTGCATGCCCCCTACTGGTGATCAAGCCCACAACCCAGTCATGTGCCCTGACAGGGAATTGAACCGTGACCTCCTGGTTCATAAGTCCATGCTCAACCACTGAGCCAAGCCAGCTGAGCTTGGTGGTCATTTTGGACACTGGCTAGCACAGATTGTTTAATAAATGGCATTGGGAAAACTAGTTCACTGTAAGGAGGACAAAAAAAGAGTTAAATCCCTTTGTAATTCATATTTACAACAGATTTAAACAACATTTAGATTAAAAGATCCATATATAAAAGATAAAAATATAAAGTTATTTCAAAAATGCAGAATGGAAACAACTTCTTAAACAAGATCCCAAAGGATACACCTTTAGGGGGAAAAAAAGGGAATTTGACTAAATTAAATTCAGAATTTCTCTAGTTGACAATGGAAACCTTACAAATAACCACACTTAATAATGTTGATGGTATGATGGAATTATAATTATTCTACAATCCCAATGAAATTATTGACTCAGGTAAGGGTCATCAATTGGTGTGTGGTTGATAGGTAATTGCCATTCATTAGTGCCAAAATAACATCATACAGATTACTTTTTAGTTGGCAACAAGGGAATGTAACTACAATGGAAGGATCACACCAACATCACCTGAATCAAGGGGCCAATTCTGAGCATCACTAATGACGAGCCACATTAGCAATATTATGGATCTTTCAATACAAACAATGTAAAAAATGTAAAATTACCTAAAATGTATTCTAACCAAAATGTTTAATATCAAGCCTTTATATCCATCATGTAGTTTATAGAAAACTCAGAATGGGTTGGGTTACAAACCAAATAATACCACAAGTAAACAACTAGGTAAATTTGGAAATTGGGTCATTATGCAACTGGTGGTCTCTTTAACAAGTCAGCATCATGTGAAAAAAGGGACTGAGTTGGGAGAACCTTGAAGAACATAATAACCAGACACGGTGCAAGGATCTAGACTGGGTCCTTGTTTAGATGAACCAGCTATAAAAGACATTTCTAGAATGTGTGTGTGCCCTGGATATTCGATAAGATAAAATTTTATTGACATGGAAAGATGGCAATTATTAACAAACAAAGCAGATTACAAACAGCACATACAGTGTGACTGTATTTTCACACACACACACACACACACACCTGGAAGGACATTTGATATTTTCGTATTTTTAATTATCTGTGTTTTCTAAATTTCTATAACATACACATACTGCTTTAAAAATAATAAATGGTTATTTACAATAAAAAATCAAGTATTTCCATTCAACAATAGCTGCTATAGGCAAGTGACATTCTAGGAGAAAATACTGGTAACATCTAAAACTGACTAGAAATTATTATCAGAAACAAACTTCTTCAGCTGGGGTTCTTCTCATGAATTTGAAAACCTAGCAAATAATCTGAGTAACTATTTTCTGAACTTTCCCAAGGAGGGTAGGTAAGTAGTACCAGTCTTAGGAGATACATAGAAGAAAGGTAAATTTATTATGCATAATACATGCCTTAGGGAAATAGGCCTTAATTCTCCCTAGGAACTAAGCTAAATTATGCAAGGATCTCCTGTAAAGCAACAAGAAAAATATATATTTTTAAATGTTTTCAAATGTTTTTATTGATTTTTAGAGAGGGAGTGTTATAGAGAGATAGAAACATCATCGATCAGCTGCCTCCTGCATGCCCCCTACTGGGAATTGAGCCACAATGGGGGCATGTGCCCTGACCAGGAATTGAACTGTGACCTCTTGGTTCATGTGATGCTCAACCACTAAGCCACATGGCCGGCCAAGAAAAAGATTTTTTAAAAATGCAGTAGAAAATTTAGTAAAGAATATGAATAGGCAGCTCAGTTGGTTGAGCACTGTCCCATACACCAAAAGGTCAAGGGTTTGATTCCCAGTCAGGCACATACCTAGGTTGCAGGTTCCATCCCACTTGGGGCAGGCTGGGGCTAGTATCGGAAGCAACTGATTGATATTTCTCTCTCCCTTCTTTGCTCTAAAAATCAATAAACACATGGAAAAATAACAAGAGTATGAACAGAAGGGGAAACCAAAAAAGCTAGTATATAAAAAGATCTCATTAGTAATGAGAGGAATGCAAATTAAAATGAGATCACTCTATATGAATCAGATTGGCAAATTAGAACACTGGATCATGCTATGTGCTGTCAAGGATATGCAGAAACAAGATCCCTTACGCACTGCTGGACAAGAGTATAAAGTGCTACAGCCATTCGGGAGAGTAATCTGATGATATTGATGAAATCTGTTTGTATGTGTCCCATGACCCAGCAATTCCACCCCAGCTACAATCATGAGAAACGCTGGCCCAGGCCCCACAAGGGCACATGTATGAAGATGTTCACGGTGGCACCATTTGTGGGGGCAGAAAGTGGGGAGTCCCTCTAGGTCTCTAACCTCGGGGAAATGCATAAATAAAATATGGTGAGTGCATACCATAGATTCCTGTGCAATAGTTAGAAGCAAAGAACTAAATGTACATGGAGCAGCATGACTAAAACTTGAAAAAAGTACTGAATTAAGAAACAAAACACACGATCCATAACTCAATGCCATTTGTAGAAACGTATATGCATACAAAACAATGCTTTAGCTTTTCAAGGGAACAAACATAATTCAAGCATATGGAGGAGTACCTATGGGGGAAAGGGAAGTGGGAAGGGGTTTGGAAATAAAGGGAAAAAAATAAAAAGAGAAAAGATTTGCATAGACCAATGATGATTAAGTGCCACGCACTGAGGAGCATTCTGTTCAGAAGTCTTAAAAACAAAAACAAAAATCTCCAAACAAACAAGCAAACACTAGCCAAGTGGGGTGGGATGGGAACGGTCTCAGGGAAACCTGGAAGGGAGGTAGCTGGAGCAGAGAAAAAGCACTGTCCTTGGAAGCCAGATAACCTGGGGTAGAATGTGAGCTTTGCTGCTGACTGGCTCTTTGCCCTTGGATGCATCCCCAACATCGTCTTTAAAAAAAAAAAAAGTCAAACAGGGGTACAAGATGAACATACAAGCAGCAGAATCCCTCCTGACACACAGGAGTGATTATGTGGGGGTGGATAACATTAGATCAACATTAGCTTCAGGAGTGGGTGTGAGATGACATTAGACAAATGTAACACTATAGCTCAGAAATGCGCTTCCCAGATCATCCCATTCCAACTGCAAGTGGTTACTCATTAATGCAGCGGTTCTCAACCTGTGGGTTGCGACCCCTCTGGCAGTGGAACGACCCTTTCACAGGGGTCGCCTAAGACCATCCTGCATATCAGATATTTACATTACGATTCATAACAGTAGCAACATCACAGTTATGAAGTAGGAACGAAAATAATTTTATGGTTGGGTCACAACATGAGGAACTGTATTTAAAGGGCCAGAAGGTTGAGAACCACTGCATTAATGGGTCATGAAATAACTTTAATGGGTCTCAAAGAGCATTAAAGGAAAGAAAATAATATTTCAGAATGCATTTCCCTGAAAGTATCATTTTATAAAACTCTTATTTCAGTTATGAATATGAAATGCATTTTCTCTATGGGATGCAGTCACAAAGTTTGAAAAATATGGATACAGCCCAAAGAAATCCTATACTTTTGGATTCCAAGAATAAGTATTCCCCAAGGTAACAGACACTTGTTCATAGCTGCCACTTTTTAATATACAAAGGACATCAAAAAAGAAACCCTCGCCGAAACCGGTTTGGCTCAGTGGATAGAGCGTCGGCCTGCGGACTGAAAGGTCCCAGTTTCGATTCCGGTCAAGGGCATGTACCTGGGTTGCGGGCATATCCCTAGTAGGAGATGTGCAGGAGGCGGCTGATCGATCTTTCTCTCTCATCGATGTTTCTAACTCTCTATCTCTCTCCCTTCCTCTCTGTAAAAAATCAATAAAATATATTAAAAAAAAAAAAAAAAAAAGAAACCCTCGTAGTCTCCATTAATATTGTATCATAAGAGAAAGGATGTTTAACATTGTAAAAATAGGACAGAATAAAGGCTTTATGTAAAACTCACTACATTGTACTTATTTTTCTCACTTCCCTATCTTTTGGAACATGAGGACAGAATGCCAAGGTAGAAATTGTCTCACTCAAGGCCAGCCAGTCAGCTATAGTAGAGGTGACTCTTAACCCCTATGCCCTGGCTGTGCTTTCCAGTATCTTCTCCTCAGAACCCTGAGACCCACAGAAATGAAGCACAGCAGGCAGGGCTCTGGAACCCCCAAACCTTCTATCAAAAAAATTTTAAGCCCCTGGCCGTGGGCGAGGTGTTGCCTGCCAGGATAGAATCAGATCATGGAGGTTATTACATTCCGTTTAAGATTAAATTTTTTTTACTAGTGGCACAAGAGAGTTATTTATGATTTGATTTCTGGGTAAAGGGGAGAATAGATCGGGACTATTTTTGAGGATAATTCATCAGGTGGTAGTGTAACAGCTGGTTTGGCTGGGTAGAAACAGCAAGCAGAGAGAGCAATCATTTAACCATTGCAATAGTCTTGCATGAGATGTTGAGAGGGGCCCTGCGTAAAACAGCAGGGATGCAGAAGACAGCACCCCCAAATTTTCTGGGGTCATGGCTACTCAAAGCCAGGCCAGGGGCAGCCTCTCACAGTAGTATCCCATTATTTCCTCTCATTGTTTCTAATGCCCTTATATCTAACTACGTGAGCGGCTCTCCCAGGATCATGGGCATAGGAGTGGAACTCAGGAGGTGGGGGGAAGGACCCTCACCTGTAGTGCCAGCTGGCAGTCCTCAATCAGGCCCTGGACCAGGTAGTAGCGTGCTTCCCCTAGTAGCTCCCCCAGTTCTCTGGTACTTTCAGGCAGTGGCACAGACCCATCCCGAAGGTAGTTGAGGATTGTACCAAAGTGGCGGCCGCTCCGGTCAATCAGCACCCAGCCTGGTGGGATACAGAGAAGAGAAGGGATGGCTTTTCTGGGGGCTCTGGAGCTACTAAACTTTTATGAAAAAAGGATTCCAAAGCTACAAGTCTGAATTTTTCTCAAACCTCTGTGTTATCCACGAAAATACCATTAAAACATGTCCAGTGTTTCCATGTCCCCCCAATAATATATGTATGAATATATATGTATATATATGTGGTTGATTTCAGAGAAGAAGGGAGAGGGAGAGCTAGATAGAAACATCAATGATGAGAGAGAATCATTGATCGGCTGCCTCCTACACGCCGAGGACTGGGGATCGAACCCGCAATCCAGGTATGTGCCCTGACCAGGAATGGAACCCACAATCTTTTGTGGGAGAGGACGGCACTCCAGCCAACAGAGCCACCCGGCCAGGGCACATGCCTCTTTTTATTGGTCTGTTTGTTTACTGTTCTCCCCTGTCCCCAGAAAGAAGTAAACTCAGTAAGGCTCATCTCCTCAGATCCATTTACCCAAACAAAGTATCTACAGTGTGAACTGGCGCTTTACAAACACTTACTGAACGAGTAATTTCTTCCCCTTTAGACAGTTGAAGACTGAGCTCCACCCCCCAAATGTTTATTTTCCTGCTCTCACAATCTTTGTTAACCCCCTATCCCCACCCCCGCCCGAATCGCCCCTCCAAAACTGTAGGATTCCACTTGGGCCTCTGAGACCCAAACCTGAACGCAACACTCCAAGAAGGTAGGGTTCACCTGCCAGAGAGAACCCGCCACCCTCCGCTCTGGTGTCCCTGGCAAACCACACGCAGCCTCTCCTTCCACAGCCTGCACTTGCAGATGGCGTCCTAGAGTGCATTAGGGGCAACACAGAGACACAGACAGATCTCCCAACTCCGCGGGCTGGCTGTCAGCAGCGCTAAGGCAGAGAGGGGAGCGAACGGCTGGGCAGCCGGGGAAAACTGACCAAGGTTGCCGGACGGATGCTGCTGGCAGCAGGGCTGGCTCCCAAGGTGTCTGAGCTGGGGCGGTGAGGGTGGGAGAACTGGGAGAACTGGGAGTGGCAATGGAAACGCTGAAGTGACATGTTGAACCCCTTCCCACGGGGCCTGGCAGAGCTGCAGACGGGGTGGTTTCTAAGTGCAGGCTGTTGCTGGGGGTAAAGGCTGGGGGAGGAGGAAGGTTATGAACGAAAAGGGGGAGACAGATGGGATGTGGGGATGGAAAGACGTGAGTGAGCTGCTGGCGGGCAGTGAGCGGAGGGAAGGGACACGAAGGCCCTGGGCGACGAGACGAGGAGTGCGGGTCTCCCCGGAGGGTGGAGGGCAGCGCGAGCGGGGCGTGCGGTACCTCCGGCGTCGGTGAGTACCTCGGCGCGGCCGCTGAACATGGCCTTGAGCTTGGTGTCCTGCCCCGTGAGGGTGCGCAGCGTGGTGTAGTGCAGCGAGCCCCCCACGTTTAGCTTCACGTACTTGCTGTTCGGCGTCTGCGGCTGGAGCCCGGCGGCGGCGGCGGCGGCGCCAGGCTCGAGCCCCCAGGGCGTAGGGACTTCCAGGGACAGGGCCCCGGCCGCCGCCGGGCCCGAGGCCTCGGCCGACATGCCAGGTGGCGGCGGCCTGGGGCTCTCTCCGCGCCCTCCGGCCGCCCCCCAGGACCCCGGGTCCGACCCCTCCCGCCGGACAGCCCGGCCCGCACGCCCGCCCGCCGCCGCTCCTCGGAGACGCTGGCCCACAGCCCCGCGCGCCGGCACCTCCGGCAGCTGCGCAGGCGCGGCAACGTCGCGTCCCGACCTCGCGAGGCGGGGAGTGCGGAGCATGCGCAGTGGCCTCGGGCCGGGGCAGGGCCGCGGGCGGGGCGCGCCCCTCGTTACTATCCGGGACCAGGGCCCGGTGGCGCCTGGCCGCCTGCCGGGTGTGGAGAGCGACGTCCCGGTGCCTTGGTCGGGCGGGCGCTCTCAGAGCGACCCCCGAGCATGAAGGGGAAACTGAGGCCCCGGGGAGCAGGGTTCTGGGCAAGGTGTCCCGCCCGCCAGCCCCTCGCACTGGACAGAGCAGAGCTGCGAACAGACACCAAGGGGAGCGCGTGGAGAATGCTGTGAAAGTCCAGCTGAGTCCATTTAAAGATCAAATTGGCTTTATTCCACCACTCATGAGTCAGATGGCATCCCATCTAGCAAATAGAAAGGAGCTCCATAAACTACGGGAAAGAAAAGGTTTTTAAAGGCAGAAAGGGGGCAAAAGGGGGGACATTATTAGCAAAGAATATATTGCTTCAGGAAAGGTGGGCCTCCTAAGAGGGGTGTGTGCTTGGGGAGGCGGGGAGGGAGGGGGGTTATTATCTCGCTAGTGCTGACCAGCTCATCCATGTTGCCTGGTTAGAGATTGCATTCCTGGAAGATGTTGAGGTTGCAGTTGGGTTGGGTGTCAAGTCTTGGTTTGCTGATGTGGGGCTCAGCACAAGTGACTCCCCTTTTAGGCCTAATTGTTTAAACAGGGCTAAGGAAATGGCCTCCCAGGGGAGGTGGCAGTAGTGCTAGGGCATGCGGGGTGTGGGTAGGTAAGGTCATCACGGAGGGCCTCTCGGAGGAGGTGATACTGAGCTAACGCTGAGAATGGCCGGGGAGAGGTGTGAGGGCAGAGAGTTCCAGGCAGAGAAAAGGGCAATGCAAAGACCCGAAGGCAGGAACAGGCTTGGTGTATGTAAGGGGCTGAAAGGATGTCAGGGGTGGCTGGAGCAGCCGAGCAAAGGTCTTAGAATCCCAGCTAAATGTTGTGAGGTACCCGACCCTGAAAAAGAAATAAGATAGAAATCCATGGTTGACAAGAAAGTGTGGTGAGAAGTGTGATGTAACCATCCAGCTTAATGTGTCCCTGAGACCTGCTTTGCTTAATTCCTTCTGCCCAGAATTAGGACATTTTCTCTGGTTCCTGATCAATGACAACTGGTCTTTGGCCAAGTTCTGCAGATACAAGGTTGCGCAGCACCATCCTTATGGATCTTGTTCTAACTAAAACTGGGCCAAATACCTGCTCCCCTCACGATTCCTCATTTGTACCCTTATCCTTCTAACTGACACAATTTCACTTGAGACAATTTAGAATTGCAGTGCCATTTGGGGGAACTTTTCACAAGAATAAGATTGTTTATTCGAAAGGCACCTCAGAACAAAAGAGGAAGAAACCCTCATCAGGAGACTGTCTTGTTTGTCAAAAAGAGCGGTTACTTTGTTTAGCGTTGGCAGTGTTTCACTTCTGTACTTTGTATATTAGTAAATGCTAACTTTTTAATTGCATGGGTCTATTAAATTGTCAAACGCCTGAGTTGTTTTTAAAAGGAATGCCCCTCTTTGGGCGTGCATGTACTAGTATGTGTCAAGATCTGTTTTTCTACATTCATACTGTCTTTCCCACCTCGCCGAGGGATCATTGATTAGATTTTTAGAGTGGTAATTTCATGTTTCTCTAAAGTAGCTCCCTCTCAACTTTTTCTGTTGTCTATTTCTCTCTTTAGGAAAACTTTAAAGATGAACTATTAAAAACTATTCCATTGTATGTGTGTGCTCTAGGAATAACCAGTCCATTTAAACAGTTTAAAATGTCTTAAAGAATTGTTAAACTATATATGTTTTCTTTGTGGGCACTGAAAAGCGTGTTATGTAATGGGCTTCATTATTATAGTTACAAGATAAGAAAAGGCCTTAGTTCCAAGATAGAAGAAGAGTGTTTAGCATGACCCATGTCTTTAAATTTGCCGTGGAAAATCATGACAGCACGATATTTTGGTTTGTACAAGACCAAGGTTAATTTTTCAAATGATTTAAGCCTTTTTAACTTTTATATTGATTTTACTAGAGGCCCGGTGCACGACATTTGTGCACTGGGGGGTGGGGGGGGCGGGTTACTTCAGCCCGGCCTACGCCCTCTGGTAGCAGTCCGGAATGACGTAGGCCGGCTCCCTGCCTAAGCCAGCAGTAGGACATCCTTAGCGCTACTGCTACCTCCGAGGCAAAAGATTGCCAGCCTGAGTGGCGCTCCCCCTGTGGGAGCGCACTGACCACCAGGGGGCAGTTCCTGCGTTGAGTGCCTGCCCCCTGGTGGTCAGTGCGCCTCATAGCGACAAGTCATTCCAACGCTCAGTCAGTTTACATATTACCCTTTTATTATATAGGATAAATCAAGTTCTCATAGATTTCATTTTTTAAATACATTTTTATTTTCTTTTTTTTCCTGCAGTACATTACATCCCCAGGGTGGGCTACCATTCCCAGAATTTATTTATAATTGGAAGTTTACATATAACTGGAAGTTTGTACCTTTTGACTACCTTCACCCATTTCCCCCACAATCCATCCCTGCCTCTGGCAGTCACCAATCTATTCTCTGTTTCTGAGTTCAGTTTTTTTAGAAGTGATGTCACAGAGTATTTTTCTTTGTTTGACTTATTTCACTTAGCATAATGCCCACAAGGTCCATCCGTGTTATCTCAAATGGCTGGATTTCATATATATTACATTTTCTGTATTCATCTGTTGATGGGCATTTAGTTTATTTCCATGTCTTGCTAATGTAAGTAATGTCTCAATGAACATGGGGGTGTGGATATCTCTTTGAGATAGTGATTTTGTTTCCCTCAAATAGGAATTTTGAAGAAGTGGAATTGCTAGATCATATGGTAATTCTATTTTTACTCTTTAAGGAACCTCCATACTGTTTTGTAAGGTAGCTTCACCAATTTACATCCCCATGGACAGTGCACAAGGTCCCCTTTCTCCACATCCTTGCCAACACCTTCCTCTTGTCTCTTTGATAACAGCCATTCTAACAGGTGTGAGGTGACAGCTCATTGTGGAATGGTTTGTATTTACCTGATGATTAGTTACGTTGAGCATCTTTTAATGTACCAGCTGGCCATTTATATCTCTTTGGAAAAATGTCTAGTCAATTCCTCTGCCCACCTTTTAATTGGATTGTGTGTGTTTTTCTGCTCCTGAATTGTATGAGCTCTTTATACGTTTTGGATATTAACCCCTTATCAGATACATGATTTGCAAATATTTTCTCCTATTCTGCAAGTTGCCTTTTCATTTTGTTAACCTTTTTTTAAAAAAATATATTTTATTGATCCTTTACAGAGAGGAAGGGAGAGAGATAGATAGCCAGAAACATCAATGAGAGAGAAACATCGATCAGCTGCCTCCTGCACACCCCTTACTGGGGATGTGCCTGCAACCCAGGTACATGCCCTTGACCGGAATTGAACCTGGGACCCTTCAGTCCGCAGGCCGAGGCTCTATCCCAGCCGTGGGCAAACTACGGCCTGCGGGCCGGATCCGGCCCGTTTGAAATGAATAAAACTAAAAAAAAAGAAGACCGTACCCTTTTATGTAATGATGTTTACTTTGAATTTATATTAGTTCACACAAACACTCCATCCATGCTTTTGTTCCGGCCCTCCGGTCCAGTTTAAGAACCCATTGTGGCCCTCGAGTCAAAAAGTTTGCCCACCCCTGCATCCACTGAGCCAAACCGGTTTCGGCGCCTTTTCATTTTGTTGATGGTTTCCTTCGTTGTACAGAAGCTTTTTAGTTTGATGTAGTCCTGTTTGTTTATTTTTGCGTTGGTTGCTTTTGCTTTTGAGATCAAATCCAAAAATCATTGCCAAGAATGATGTCAAGGAGCTTACCCCCTATCTTTTCTTCTAAGAATTTTATGGTCTGAGGTCTTACATTCCACATATTAACCCATTTTGATTTGATGTTTGTGTATGGAGTAAGATAGGGGCCTATTTTTATTCTTTTGAAAGTGGCTGTAGTTTCCCAGCACCATTTATTGAAGAGACTATCTGTTCTGCATTGTATATTCTTGGCTCCTTTATTATAAATTAATTGATCATATATGCATGGATTTATTTCTGGGCTCTCTGTTCTGTTCCATTGATTTATGTGTCTGTTTTTAGGCCAATATCATACTGTTTTGATTACTGTAGCTTTACTTATTATTACTAGAGGCCCAGTGCATGACATTCGTGCACTGTGTGTGTGTGTGGGGGGGGGGTCTCTCAGCCTGGCCTGCACCCTCTTGCAGTCCACGACCCCCGAAGGGTCCTTAGCACTGCCATGGAGGCAGAAAAGGCTCCCACCACTGTGATCCCGGTTTCTGGCTGAGCAGTGCTTCCACAGGGGGAGCACACTGACCACCAAGGGGCAGCTTCTGCATTGAGCTTCTTCCCTCTGGTGGCCAGTGTGCATCATAGCGACCGGTTGTTCTGCTGTTTGGTCGATTTGCATATTAGCTTTTTATTATATAGGATTACTAGAGGCCAGGTGCACAAATTTGTGCATGGGTGGGGTCCCTTGGCCTGGCCGGCAATTGGGGCCAATGAGGGCCCTCTCGCCCAGTCCCATTTGGGGCCAATTAAGGCTGGCTGGCTGGGGGTAGGGACCGCGGGAGGTTGCCTGGCCGGGGTTGGGGGTGGGGGAGGGACCGTGGGAGGTTGGCTTGCTGTGGAAGGTTGGCTGTGGGAGCACACTGACCACCAGGAGGCAGCTCCTGCACTGAGCATCTTCCCCCTGGTGGTCAGTGTGCATCATAGCTACCGGCT